GGATGAGTGGGGCCCTGTGGGAAGAAAAAGGAAAAGTAAGAATTATTAAGTTCTGCCAATGGAAGGAATTATCTCCATTTTGATGATGAGAAATGGCTCAGAGTGGATGCCATACCAGCAGTAAGGCCCGACTGAGGTCTTGGACCCAGGCTTGCCTGACCCAAAGCTGCCTGAGGGTGTGTGCCTGAGGTCTGTCTGTGCCATGGTGAGTGGGCCTTGGGGCCAGCGAGGGAGGTGCTGAATTCAACTCTGAGTCTATGTGACCTAAGATTGGTGCACAGGGTTGGGAGGCAGCGCAAGGTGCCGGATAAGAGTCTGGGACTGGAAGGAGTTAACTGCGTGAGGAGCCTGGGTGAATCAGAGGCTCCGAAGGTTGCGATGGAAATTCCCTGTGCATGGTGTGTGGTCACCCAGAAAAGGGAAACGGTGCTTTTCGGAGCAGAGGACGGCGGGGGCTGGAGCCCGGGAGCAGACGCTTGCCCGGGTGGGGCTGTCTAGAGTATTGTGACCAAGGAGGCCTGACGTCTGAGTCTCTGTTCAGGCCCTAGGAGAGAAAGGGGGGCACAAGGCTGGGCCTGGCCTGGTCATGCTGTAGTGTGCCCATGGACCTTGATGGATGGGTAGGAGTTCACCAGGCACAGAGCAAGGAAAGGCACTCTAAGTCAGGGGAACCTCTGAAGTCAAGGCATGGGGAGTGACTCAGCATTGAGCGCCCATCTACCCTGCTTTCCTGTCATTCATGATGTTCCAAGTATCACCTCTTCCCATCCAAGCCGGGACTCATTGCTCCTGTGTCCCATAGCCTGAGTTTTTCTCTTGAAGCTCTCAGGACTTCATAAGTCATCTTCCTTCCCAATGAGCAAAAGTTGTGTCCTAACTTATAGTGACAGCCTGCACCCAACATAGGACCAGCACCAAGTGGGTGCTCAGTATAGACAAACCACAAAATTGGAACCTGAGGCTCAGAGACGCTGAAATGGTAAGACTCAGCCAGCTGACTGCTTTTCCTTGGCTTGGAGGTGATGAGAGAAGAAACTGGACAGGCAGAGCCTTCCTTCAGGGCAGGGGCAGCTGACCATTGACGGGGCTACCAGGGAAGGCAATGTGGCTCTGTGGCCAAGGCCTGCTTCCTCCTTCAGCCTCAGGTTGGCTGTGCTCCTGCCTTCTTCACAGCACTGGGAAACATCCACCCTCCCAGGAGGGAGACTGAGGTGTGAGATGGAGCAAGGGGCTTCATCAGAAGCCTCTGGAGTCAAAGGAGACACAATCTAGAATCTCAGTCCAGATGCTTTCTTGTTGTCCTTAGATGCATGGCTTCCTCTTTGAGCCTCAGTTTCTACTTTTCATGGAAAAGCTTTGTTCTGAGGACAGCATAAACCGCTCCACGTGAACTATAAACCTCCAAACCAAGGTGGGACGGTGTCTACTGCCAGTGAAGATTTGCTTGTCGTCTGTGCTCTCTCCTTGGAGCTCGTGCAGTACCAGCCTGCCTGCAGCTCCTAAGCAATGTCAGGCTGTGGTCTCTGGCCCACGTCCATCTGTCCCAGCTCATGTCTACACCACACAGAGGCCTATGACCTACACTAGCCTGACAAGCAGCATGAAGACCAGGACCTCCTACCCAGAGACAAGTCCTGCGAAGGCCCATGGTGCTCATCAAATCTCTCTCTCCCTCTCTCTCTCTTTGGGGGGGTGGTACTGGGATTTAAACCCAAGACCATGTGCTTGCTAGGCAAGAACTCTACTACTCTACTTGAGCCACATCCCCAACCCCCTTCCCGCCCTTTTTTTTTGAGACAGGTTTTCCCTGTATAGCCGAGCCTGGGCTTGAACTCACAATCCTCCTGCCTTGGCCTCCCAAGTGCTGGGATTACAAGTATGCCCCACCATGCCCAGCAATGCCAGATCTTTTGACCTCTACAGGTCCGTTATGAAGGTCAAAAGCACACAGAGAAGCTACCATCAGGCAGAGTCCAGCAGCATGGAGGCAGCCATTGGGGTTGGAGTTTTTCCAAGCACAAAGGGGAACTGAGAACTGTGGGAATGTGCCTTGTACAGGCCAGGGTGGGCTTGGGCTGGTGGGAGGGGACAGCTCTAAGGAGCTGAGACTGATGGGGTTCTGGGTGGAAAGGAGAAAGAGACCCCCCAGGCAGGTGTTATGAGACTGGGGGTCCCTATGAGATGTCTCTTAAGGACATCTAGACCTGGCTGAGCAGTGGGAGGCTGGAGACTGTGTGGGGAAGGAAAGAGGAAGCCATGGGGAGAGGGGGATGGGGCGGCTGAGGATGGAGTGGGAGTGGGGGCTGGGGGCCTGGAGCCACTTTGGCCTCTACCACTTCACTTCTCCCGGTTTCGGTTTGTAAATAGCTGCCGGCTCCGTGCAGGCAGGATGGGTCCTGTCCCTTCTGTGGCCTGTGTCCAGGGAGGCCCAGGTCTGAGAACTACAGATGCTCAGTTATGAAACGTGATGGCCCCAGGAAGCATCCTGCCTGCCAGCATTTGGCTGGATGGGTGGGTTCTGGTGGGCCCAGCTCTGGGCAGTCCCAACCTGTGGTCACTGAGGTAATGCAGCTGGGCTCGAGTTGCAGCAGAACTTGATGACTTGGCCACATTGGGCTTATTTATAACTGGGCCTCCGTGGCCAGAGCAGCTGCTGTGCTGCCAACTCAGCACTCAGGCTGGCCCAGGGCACAGGATGGTGAGGACCAGCCTGACCCAATGGCCCCTCAGCCTGGGCCTGTGGGTCTGGGGATGCCTAAGGCCTCTTTGGCTAGTACCAGTCCCTGTGCTGTAATGGGCAGGTCTTGGGATCAGGAGGAGTTATTCACGGGTTGGACAGCTCAGAACCTCCTGGACCAAGCAAGTGGCTGAACTCAGTCCGTGGACCCATCAGTCCCCAGAGGGCTTGGGTCTCAGCCTTTCTGCAAAGTTGCTCTTCCTCCAGAGGCCAGATGCCCGTCAGCAAACCCCACAAGAAGCAGAGTCATCTCCCCCCCGCCACACACTTCTCGCAATATCAGCTTAAAAACAAAACAAAACAGATTCGGGAAAAGGACAATGGTGATCCCAAGGCCTGACTCCAATGGTGGCCTTCCAGGCAGGCTGAAAGATAGGAGGAGGCACGGGTCTCTCCGGAGGCTCCTGCGTCACAACACATGGGTCTCCATCCCCTTGGCAGACAGAAAGCCTAGCCTGCCCTACCGTACAAACCACCACTCGTCTTCAAGGAAGAATGTGCGGGTATCCAAGAGCCCTAAGGTTTGCAGGAATAAAGAGGTTCCTACAAGCTTTCTCCCATGTTTGAGTCTTTCTGAATCAACTTGCCACCCAGTTCTGTCCCTCTGTCCCGTCAAACTTGGTCCTGGCTCTTCCACCTCCAGGCCTGTTCCAACAGCCCTCCAGTCCCCATGTCCTTTCCTGCCCTCTTCCAGCCTCTCCAATTCTATGCCTAGACTCACCTCTTGGGGGCCCAGCCTCAGCGCTGTCCCTAAAGTTTGGGTTCTTGGAATGTAAAACTCAATGGATGTTGGAACTAGAGCAGAAATAAGCAAGGGTTTTTTCATCATGGTTGCCATGATACTACCGAAAAGAGGAAAACAAGGCCCGGAGTGTGTCAGAGAGGGTCCATGACATTTATCAAGCAAAGGACAAAGCCAAGTCCAGAGCCATATATCCTGAGTTCCAGCTTAGAGCTCTCCCCACTGGACCTCTGACCTGTAGCACCTGCCACGGCCCCACCTTGCCCCTTCCTCTGGGAAGCAACTGTTGGGCAAAGGAAGGAGAGGGTTTGATATAGGGGGAACCGGGTCATCCATTGTCCAGGTCTGGGCCTGGGGGGTGGTAGCCCCCTCAGGCTCCTCTGGGCAAGGTCAGGGTGCCCAGCCTGGAGCCGCCCTGGCTGCAGCTGCCCCTGTTTCCACATCGGCAGCAGCAAGGCCGGCGCCTGAGAAAACAGGAAGCGCCGGGTCACCACAGGAAGCATGTGTGCACTGCCTCCCCACCCCCGCCCATTGCAAAACGCCAACAGCTCCATTACCACAGGCACCGCACAGGGGCTGGGAGAAACGCTCCTGCCACCAGGCCTGCTGAGGAGCAGACAGACCCCGGCCCTTGCAAGCTTGGGCCAGGCCTCAGGGTGATGTCCAGCAGCAACCTTGCGGACCATGGAGTCTCCAGGAGAAGGGCCTCAGGTCTTCTTTCCTCTGGATTCTCAGCCCAAGCCCCACACTTTCCTGAACCAGGCCTACCATGGCTACCTTTAAATAAGAATATGGAGTCAGGGGTCACAAGGAAGCCATTTTTCTGACTTAGGATTTGGTATTTGGGGACTTTTGCCAAGCTCACAGACCCTGACAAGGCCCCATTCCCAAGTCTGCTAAGCTCTGGCCATTGGTCCAGAGCATGCCACCCCCATGACCCCAGGGAGCCCGCTGCTGTCAAATCCACACCTGCCTCACCCTCTGCCCAGCGGAGACCTCGCCTGTTGGGAGGTCAGGGCCCTCCCCATCCAACCACCCCCGCAATCCTACCCTACTTTTGGGACTTACCTCTCGTTTCTGCCCCCTGGCCCTGCACATGGAAGGAGATGGGAGTCCAGCAAGGCCAAGGCCAGTGTCTGGGGAGGCCTGTGTTCCTCCAGCCCCGGGGGACAGCAAGGAAAAGAGAAGAGAGCAGAGCATTTCATGGCTATAAAAAATCAAAGGGGGAAGTCGGAGCAGGAGAAATAAGAAACTTCCCTCGCCTGGGCACGGGGACCTGCCAGGCAGCAGCCCCTGGGTGCCCTGCGGCCTTCCCTCCTTCCTCCCGCCTCCCTGGCTAGTGCCCAGATCTCTCCTTGGGCCTAGGCACCCCCATTTGCCCAGAGACCCCTCCCCAGGTATCCAACAGCCCTCCTCATTCTGCTCCCTGGGGCTGGGTGTGAGTTTCCTCCTAAAAGCCATAGAAATTCCCAGATTCATGCTGGTCTGGGGAGGCGAATATCAGGCTGCCCAGCAGAGAACATGAAGATGGACTGTGCCTGCTCTAAGCCAGACCTCAGGGGACAAAGGGAGGTGCTAGTGAGATTGTGGGGGCTGGATGGACAAATGTCTGTGAGAAAAGACAGCAGGGCTAAGGTCTGGAGTGGAGGAGGGGCTGGCCCTTGACTGTGACAACAGGCAGGGCCTTTACCTGAGCCTTGTCCTCTCTCTTCTCCCAGACACTGGGGCCTGTGGTCCATGGCATAGGTACGGGATCTACACAATCACAGGACGTGACCAAGACGTGCCTCCCTAGAGTGTCCACTCAGGTGGAAGACTGAGAGGGGAAGTCATTATAAAAAGGGGTTTCTCACATAGAGAAGGATGCAAACTTGTATAAATCTTTAAAATAGAACAAGAAATTTCAGAAAAATTTTGGCTGGGTTTTGGGACCACTCTGAGCCATTCTCCCATGCTCAGGAACCCCCTCCTCCTGGCCTGAACTGTTGGGGTGCATGGGTGTGTATTACAGTCTTCAACTTCCCGTTGAAGCTCTCCTGAGACTGTGAGCTCACCCCCTTATTCCAGCTCTCTCCTCTCACGTGAGTCACCTATACTCAGGCCTGCCTGAGTGTCCTGGTGACAGCTCCTGGACAGCTGCCCACCCTGGAGCTCTTGGGAGAGAATGGTGAGGCCTGGAATCCCTCAGTGCCTCGGTTTCCTGGGTGGGGAACCAGGATGACACCACTTCACTTGCAACTTTGTCAGGCGCAGAAAGAAAGTGGCTGTGACTACTGGAGTCCAGGCTATGGACAGACAGACCCTAGAGCACATGTAGTGAGTGACCCTGGGTAAGCAACTTTACCTCTCTGAGCCTCAGTTTCCCCATTTGGAAAACAGGGGGAAGTGCCTACGGCAAAAGTTTGCAATGAGGGACAAAGGAGATTGTAGAATGGGGCCTCAGGTGATCTTGTGCCAACATCACACAGCTGGCCTTCCTCCTTCCTCCTCCCAGCAATCCCCACTTCCTCCCTCCTCTCCCTCTCACCTGACTCAGGCAGGTGAGAACCTTGGCTTCCTGCTCTTCCTTGAGCACCCCAGGGCCCCTGGCCTCACTCTGACCCTTTCTGGTCTGAAAGAATGCCAGAGCTGGGCTTCTCAGCCCTCATACAAAGGGCTTCCTCTCTGGAACAGAGACATTGGAGTCCCCAACTTCAGCCCTGGCAGGACTCCCCACTTCTGCTCGCATATCTGGCTACCCATGACTTTTAACAACTGGTGGCATTCACAAGAAACTTTACATATGCAACATCTTTAGTGCTCACAGCTGTAGGATTATCCCCATTTGTCAGATGAGAAAACTGAGGGCTGGGAGGGGGAAGAGGAGTGACTGGTGTCAGGTCACCTGGTTAGAAAGGGAAGCTGTGAAATAATTCAGTTCTCCAGTCCTCCAGCCCTGCAGAAATCCTGTTCGAACCCTGCGGCAGAGCAGTACCTCTGATTATTCTTATGATTGGTAACGGAGATTGAACTCAAGGCCTCATGCTTGCTGAGCAGGTGCTCTACCACTTGAGTCATACCCCTAGCCCTTAATGATTTTAGTAATTTTTCCGGATAGAGTCTCAAAGATTTTTCTCCCCTAGGTCCAGCCTCAGTCTGAGTTCCTTCTACCTAAGTCCTCCTGAGTAGCTGGGATCACAGGCTCCTGGCTTCTTGGTTGAGATGAGCTCTCTAATGTTTTCTCCTCTGGGCTGCCCTTGAATCTAGATCTTCCCAATCTTTATCTCCCAAATAGGTGGGATTACTGATGTGCACCACTGCACCCAGCTATGCCTTGGAGCCTTTGAAGTGTCACTACTGCCCAAGCCCCTGGCCTCCACCTCTTCCCAACTACCTTGGCCCTGTTTCCAGATCCTCCTGCTTCTCCTGATCCAGGCTGGAGGATGTCAGAGTTGGAAAAATTCCAGCCTCAGATGCTGGGAGAGTAAAGAAAAAAATCCAGAATGGTGAGGAGTGTTGTAAGCCGAGCTCCTCTTAGCTTCCGTCCTGGCACATGTACAGGGGACAGTGGGATGTAACTCTCTGAGGTGAAGGGCCGGAGGAGGCAGGGCATTGACAGTGCACATATGTGGGTTCAAAGCCCAATTCCTGGGGAAGTGACTGGACCTTAAACTGGGAGAAAAATGTCTGTCCTGCCTGGAAGTGTCCCAGAAGGAAACTTGACTACTAACAGACAAGGGTTCCTCCCTCCCGGAGTACTCCCATTTAATGCCCATAATAGCATTATCTGCTAAGTTTATTTTTTGTCTTTTGGGATATTTTTTTTTTTTGGGTGGGACTGAGGTTTGAACTCAGGTCTTCATGCTTGCAAAGCAGGTGCTCTACCACTTGATACACACCTCCAGTCCATTTTACTCTGGTTATTTTTGGAAATGGGGGGGCGGTGTCTCATGAATTATTTTCCCAGGCTGGCCTCAAACCTCCATCCTCCCAATCTCAGCCTCCCAAGTAGCAAGGATTATAGGCATGAACCACCAGCACCGGGCTTGGTAAATATTATTATTGCTTCCATTTTACAGATGAGGGAGCCAAGGGAAGGGAGACTGCCCAAGATCCTACAGCTGGCCAGGGTCCAATCCTGCCTGAAGGTGGATGCACTTAACTGCACCGTAGGTCCTTCCTTTTCTCCTAGGAATGGCTCTCACCCCTCTTCTTCCCCCAGGATCAGGAACCTAACTCTGGGAGCTAGCTGAACCACAACTGGGTGGAGGGCTTGGCTCTGCCAGGCTTTGACTGTGTCCCTAAATGCTCCCTGCCCTTGCTGTCAGTCACCTTGTAATCCATGCTAGTCTCTGACTGTCCCAGGAGAAGGGTTCATCTGGGATGCTGGACCTAAGGAAGCTAGACTTGAACTTTCTGCATTGCTTGGGCTCCTTCCTAGGCCCTAGGAGGGGTGTCAGCAATTTTGTATTCATGATTTCATGATCCTTTTCTTTAGAGTACCCCCTAAATTGTATAAGCTTCAAGTTGCACAAAGGCTACTCTGAGAAGAGCTGCTTCCCCTTCCCCACTTGCCCCCATTTGCTGACTCCTGAATCTTACCCCCTTCCCCAGCGGTACAGTGGGGACCAGAGAAGCCTGACGTGTCAAGAAGGTGCAGCAGAGGCAGCGAGGGGCTCAGGGTAGCGGAGGCTTTCGCAGCCTGCTCTTGTCCCGTCCCCACCAGCTCTGTGGGGGGAGTGGGGCTCCTACCCCCCGTTTCTAGCAGAGATAACTGAGGCTACCCGTGCAGAGGCGAGGGAGCAGGCTGGAGCCCATGCCCCCTGCTCCCTGGGGGTGGCCTCAGGGCGACCTTGGCCTGGGGACCGAGGTGCGGGGGCGGGGGCGGCGGCGTCCCGCACTGTCTCACCGCAGGACCGACCTCGGCCTTATCGGCTCGGGCAGCTTCCGTCCCCGGCCCCGCCTCCGGGGCGCAGGACCCCAGGGCCCAGGGGAGCCAGGGCCACGGCTGCTGCCCAGCCGAGCGCAGCCGAGCCGGCCCCCAGGTGGGCAGCGGAAGTGATAAATAACCCGGGGGCCCCATCGCAGTGAGGCCTCCCTGCCGCAGGATGCCCACCCCAGCCCCAAGGGCTTCCCAAACCTCCGCCCTAATGGGAGGGGTCCCCTAAAGCTCCAGGGACAGGGCCCGCAGCAGTTACCCATAGCGCGTTCTGAGGGGCCCAAGACACCCTCCGCATGTGATCATGTCTGATCACATGCTTCACACACACGCACGCACGCACACTAACCACTGTCACCCCGCACAGGGGTGGGAGGGAAGAGAAAGGTGGGGACACCTGAGAGAAAGTGAAAAGCCAGCCACAGACTGGAGATGAGATGTCTGCGTGTAGCAGCCAGAAAGCCTTACAACACTCTGGCCCATCAGTCAGAAAAAGAGCAAGTAATCCAATAGAAAAGCAGATGAAAGACGTGAATCAGAAGAGGAAACGCATTGTCCAATGAACAGCTAAGGGCTGCTCCACCTCCCTGGTGAGGAGGGAAATGCAAATAAAGACCACCACCGTGAGATGCTATTTTACACCATTTAGTGGGTGACAGTAACAAGCCCCAACGGCACCCAGTGCTGGAGAAGAGGTGAGGAGGTGAGGTGACAGGATGGCCAGGCTGCTGCCAGTCAAAGTGCAACTCCAAATAACCACTGGGGAAAACAATCCGGCCCTATCTTACAAAGCTGAAAGAAAGCAGAGACTGAAACCCAGCAAATCCACCAGGCATAAAAGCCAGAGAGGCTCTTGGGCGTGCTCCAAGAGACAGAAACAAGACCATCCCCAGCAGCACTGTAAAACTACAGTAGACTCAGACTGCACGCCATTCAGCAGAGCAATCCAATGACCCATGGTGTCACACAGTCTCATAAATGACTGTTTCACAGTGTGGAGCGCTAAAGGCTGGTCCCTGAATTGGTCAGGCATGGAGGTACATGCTACTCAGGAGGTAGAGGTAGGAGATCTACCTTACCTAAAAACAGCTGAAGTAAAAAGGGCTGGTGATGTGGGTCATGTGGTATAGCACAAGCACGAGGTCCCAGGTTAAAATCCCAGTACCTCCATCGCCCCAAAAAAAGGCAGTCCCTGAAGACAAATACCTTTGGGTGAAGTTCAAAACCAAGACGAATCATATCTTTTTAAATAACAATCTTGGTTACTTCCTTCTTATTCTTGTGTTATTAGATGATAGGTTTATTCACCTAAAAGACTCAAGACTATATTTTGAGAAATAGAGTTTATAAGATATCAAAGAAATACAAATAATTTGCCTTCAATTAGTGGCTCAAGTGTGATGGGAAGGGCTGGTGGACTGGCTCAGCTTATAGAGCAAGTGTGAAGCCCTGAGTTCAAACACCAGCACTGACACAAAAAAAAGTAATGGGAAATAGCCTATTCAAAATATTCACAAAATATAAATTTAATAGAGTTATATTGTCTATAATGTAAATATAATATATACTAGTACATATTTATGTAATATAATACAATTTACATATTATATAAATTTACTCCCTAGAGATAAATTTCTTAATAATTATATGCAGGATGTATATGAAAACAATTGTAAAATTCTCTGATTAATGTAAAAAGAAAACCTTGAAACAGTTTCTACTTCCTTATAAGAAAAAAGCCAAATCAAACAATATTGTGTAAGTGTAACATATGTGTGTTCATACCAGTACTGGGGTGTGAACTCAGGGGCTTGAGCCATCCCCTAGTCCTTGAATATAAGAAAATTATTTTTAAAAATAAAATAAAATAAAAACAAGCATGGTACTGGGGATTGAACCCACGGCTTCAGTCATGCTAGGTAAAGTATTCTACCACTTGAGCCAAGCCCCAGTCCCAGGGTGGTACGAATGAGGTCAGCTCAGACAAAGTTAGCTCAGGATATTCAAAAACAAAATATAAACACAAAGTCAGGTTCTGGTGGCTTACACCTATAATCCTAGCTACTTGGGAGGCTGAGATTGGGAGGATTATAGTTCAAGGCCAGCCCAGGCAAATAGTTCTCGAGACCTAATCTCCCAAATCACTAGAGCAAAATGACTGGAGGTGTAGCTCAAGAGACAGAGTGCCAGCCCGGTACTGGTGGCTCACACCCCAACTACTTAGGAGGCAGAGATCAGGAGGGTTGAGATTTAAGGCCAGCATGGGCAAATAGTTTGTAACATACAATCTTGAAAAAACCCCAGCACAAAAAAAAGCTGGTGGAGTGGCTCATGATGTAGGCCCTGAGTTCAAACTCTAGCACTGAAAAAAAAATGGTGGAGTGCCTGCTTTGTGTAAAGCCCTAAATTCAAATCTCAGTCCCACTAAAACAACAACAACAACAAAGTGTAAACACAAGGGCTGGAATGTGGTTCGAATGGCAGGGTGCTTGCCTAGCATGCTGGACATGATAGGCCCTGGGTCCAAACCCCTGTATACCTACTCCCGCAGAAGAAACCTGGTAGTACAAACCTGTAAGCGCAGCACTCAGGAGACTCAGGCAGGATGATCATGAATTTGAGGACAGCCTGAGCTGCTACATAGTGAGAACCTGTCTCAAAAAATAAAAGGGTTGGCAGAGTGGCTTAAGTGGTAAGTAAGTGTGAGGCCCTGAGTTCAAACCCCAGTACTGCCAAAAGAAGAAAAAACCCAGGAAAGAAAGAAAAGAGGAAGGAGGGAGGGAGGGAAAGAGGAAAGGAGAGAGGAGGGAGGGAGGGAAGGAAGGAGGGAGAGAGGGAGGGAAGGGAGAGAGGAGGGAGGGAGGGAAGGAGGAAGAAGGGAAGGGAGGAAGGAACGAAGGAGAGTAAATTGGGGGGTGTATGTCTGTGGCAGAGCATTTGCCTAGCATGCATGAGGCCCTAGGTTGGATCCCCAGCAGCACCCCCCCCACACACACACAGAAACAAAGGCAAAGAAAAAACTAATAACAGAATTGGGTTTCTCCCAAGAAAGAGTCCAGGTAGAACAAGTGAATAACACAGAAATTAAAAAGGGCCTGCAAGGGCCAAGATTATAGTGCATAAATGCCCAAGGATTTCACCCCAATTTGCATACCCCAAGGCCCTCCTTTCCTGAGGTAGAAAATGGAGAGGCATTAAGTTGATTTGTGCAGACATTTTTTTTGGAGGGGGCGTTGCATAGGGTTTCCCTATGCAGCCCAGGCTGGCCTCTGACTTTCAGCTTCCTGCCTCAGCTTCCCCCGAGTGCGAGGATTACAGGCATACGTCACCACACCTGGATTATATAGACTTTTATTCAGAGTATGAGCAAAAACTTGTCTTTCCTTCTGGGAGCTCACATGGACAAGGGAAGAAACCTGTGGATACAAGGGTCAGGGCTAAGTGTCCCAAAGACACTAGGACACTGGGGACCTTCAGGCTGGATGATCAGCCTTCGGAGAGGAAGAGGGCTAAACAGGCTGGGTTTCAATGGACAGCGATGGTGAAGGGGCAGACATCTAGGCCTGCCAGGGCTGGAGTGGGGCAGAGAGGCTGGGCAGGAGGAGGCTCCACCCTGCATGGAGTAGTTGCTGAATACTGGCAGAGAAAGAGGGGAGACGTCCTGTGAAGTTATAGGGTATGATCTAACTCAGGATTCTGGGGGAAGAGCACCCCAGGAACTCATGAAGGAACCAAGGTTACTCTGGGAAGAACAACCTGAGACAGAGTTAGGGTGAAGAGTTCCAGAGAGGCAGGTCCCTTTACAGAGGCAGAGGGGACCAACAGGCTGCGCCTTGTTTCAGCTGCGACCTTGGATAGGTGCTCACCACCTGATTGCCAGATGCCTTTTCATGAGATTGCTGCCTGCCTGCTGCCTGCCACAGAAAGCCTGTGGTGAGGAGGACTTTCTCTCAGGAGGCCACACTCTGGAAGCTTCCATCCCAGCTCCAGAATCTTGGGCCCTGGATGTCAGAGCACTGGCAGTGACAGGCCAATGCCTGGTCAGCATGCTCAGGAGTGATCCCATCTTCTGGCTTAGTGATAGAGGCTTGGCTGTCCCCCAGAGGCCCCCAGTAAAGGCATCAGACACAGGAACAATATATTAACGTCAGATCTCGGACATCCCAGTGGAGTCAGAGGCTTGGATCTACAGCTGACAGATCCATGAAGATCCAGGCAGTGTCCTGACCCATCCCAGCTGCTGAGGTTTGTCTGTCCAGCAACTCAACCCAGGAAGTCACTGAGGCGCCAAACCATTTGATAAATGGTCAGAAAATGCTCATGTGAACTCAGTACGGATGGAGAGAGGGTAGTCCCATCCTGGGTCTTTACTGTACCTGCTCTTTTCATTGTTTAGCATTTTCTTTTTTTTTATGGTGACCATCAAGGTTAATAATATTTTCTTTATACTCATATTCCATGCATCTAAGAAATATTAATATCTAACGCTTATATAAAACCTCCCATTGCCAGGCACAGTTCTAAGTGCTTTGTGTGTATTCATTCATTTAATCCTCACAGCATCAATCCCGTACAGTCATGTTTTACAGATTAGGAAAGGAGGCATACGACTTATATAATTTGCCCCACGGAGTCTGGCACCACAATCTTACTGTCTTAATCCTCAAACCAGGTCAGAGAGACAAATTGACATCTAGACAAATAGAGAGGCAGAAAAATAGATAGATAAATAGATAGATAGATACAGACATAACATACAGATTTTACATACATGAGATTATATATATAAATTTACATAATTGCATAAAAGTTTAGTTTTCCTTTTACATTTTTCTTCCCCATCCACGTTCATTTCCCCATAATGACATACATCCTAATGCGTGATCTTCTATATTTTTTATTTGCTCATAATTACATATAGATTTATATATACCAATGCCTATAACCACATATACATATACCAGGCTTCTTTTTATCATTATTTTAAAATAGTAGGTCACTGGATGTCATTTATCACACCTGTAATCCTAACTACTTGGGAGGCTGAGAATCGGGATTCAAGACCAACCGGGGCAAATAGTTCTTGAGACCACATTTCCAAAATAACCAGAGCAAAATAGACTGGTGGCATGGCTCAAGCAGCGCAGTGACAACTTTGCAAACTTGAAGCCCTGAGTTCAAAACCCAGTGCAACCAAAAGAAAAAATAATGGGTCATCTTAAAATGAACATTTCTCACTGTGTACCTTGACGTTCCTGGTAGGTACAATTCAGTATTTATTTACTTACTTTGCAGTGCTGACGATCTAACCCAGGGCCTTTCTTATGCCAGGCAACCACTTTTCTACTGAGCTGTGCCCTAGCCCAAGGTATGTTTTTAAAATGACACATAATTGTCTATGTTTGTGGAATTCTGTGTGATAATTCAGTACATGTACACAAGGTGCAATGAGCAAACAAGGGTAATTAACACCTCCATCTCCTTAAAGATTTATCAATTCTTTGTGCTAAGAACCTGTGAACTCCTCTCTCCAAGTTTTTCATAAAATATACAAGCTGGGAGGGGTGGGATGTGCAAACTACTTGGAGGCTGAGATCTGGAGGATTGTGGTTCCAGATCAGCCTGGGCAAATACTTCCAGAGACCCCATCTCCAAAATAACTACAGCAAAATGAACTGGAGGTGTGACTGAAGCAGTGGAGTGCTTGCTTTACAAGTGCAAAGCCCTGAGTTCAAACCCCAGTTCCAAAACAAAAACGAACCCAGAAAATACATAATTGTTGTGAACTATAGTTACGCTACTATGCTGCAGAATACTGGAGCTTATTCCTCTTCCTGTCTAACTGTATTTTAGAACTCCCTCCCCTTCCTAAGCCTCTGGTGACCTGTGTTCTACTGTGAGATCAATTTTTTTTAAAATGGTACTGGAGTTTGAACTCAGGGCCTCATACTTGCTAGGCAGGTGGACTGCCACTTGAGCCCCTCCACCAGGCTGAGATCAACCTTTTGAGCTTCCACATCCAGGTCAGTGTTTTCAATAGTCACACAGGAGTCCACCCACTATGTCTTTCTCCTGGCTCCCCCATTCATGGTTCTATTCCCCCCTACCACCCAGACTTCTTTAATCCATTAGAGTCTCATAGTGGAAATTCCAGGCCAGGTGGGAAGAAAGGCAGTGAGTAGGCACCAAGTGGCTTTTCTGTCTGGGTCTTGCCAGTCCCCTTGCTGGATGGCCAGGAGTCCATGGTCCCCAAAGGCAGGAATGCTGACATTGTTATTGTGAAATCATTTGTATATTGTGAAGTGCTTTGCACATGATAGCATGATTTGCATAAGGGAGGGGGTGTCTTAGAGGTTGCAGAGCAGTGTGCCTGAGCATCTTCTCCCCTTGGCAAAGAATCTGTGGCTTCCATTTTCAGAACTCAGGAGGCTCAAGGGCACATCCTGACAGATCTTTCAGAGGAAAGGCTGGGCCCACCTGGAAGGAGTTGGGGGGTTGGGAAGGACAGACATCAAGGGTATGAGGTAACATAGGCACCAGAGGCAGTGTGTGAGAGCTCAATGTGCCCTTGGGAACCCTGGCAGGGAAAAAAGTTATAAGGAGCAAATAGGGGAGAGCTGCCAAGGGAGGCTGGTGGTGATCAGATTTAAGAGACCCACTCTGTCTGCCTTAGTGACTACTGCTGTGCCCTCTCCTGAATATTCTCCCATGCTGGCTAATTCTCAGAGGAGGATACCAAGTGGAAACACCAGTCCAGTCTCACCCTAGATATGAGAGGTGATACTGAGGCAGGTAAATTAGGGACTCGTAGAAAAAACACTAATCTTAGACTAACCGTGCTGTGGCTCAGGAACCGCCCTCACCTGGCTGGGGACCGCTCCTTCCCCACCCCACTCATTAATTACTGGATGGGCAGCTCCTGTTTTCCCCTTCCCATGGGTTAGCATAGGTTTTAAAAGCATCTGAAGAGCAGAAGCACCTTCTCTAGGCTTCCACCTGGGCCTCACCATGCTTCCCTTTGCATTTCCCCTCCCTAACTTGTCATAAACTCCATTTACACCCACCTGTCCTGCCATGGATTCTTTCCCAGGGGACAAGAATTTGGAAGTCTTCTGATCACAGACTGAACCAGCGCCATTAACAGTACCATCCAGGCTCTGCCACCTGTGCCATTGTGTGACCCTATGCTAACTACCCTCTTCAAGGATAAAATAAGGATTTGTTGAGATAATGCAAATAAAGTGAAAGACACATCATAGTAGGTGTTAAGTAAGTTGCTACACTGAATATAATAAATTGCTATAACCGCCATTAATTGCTCCTGTAGTCTGAGGGAGGGGGTCAGGCTACTAGGTGAAGGCGCACAGAGCTCTGACCCCTAGGTTTGGAGTGCGCAGAGTTCTAGCCACCATGTATTGGACCCCAAAGGGTTACAAGTCCTGGAGACAGTGGGCTGAGGTTCCCAGTGAAAAACCAAAGCATAAAAATAATTCGATGAGTAAGAATAAAATTCCCTCTTCTGAGGTTCCCGGGGCCAGGCCCCTCCCTGCGGCATGCACTTCCCCTTTCCCTTGTTCATGGAGAAGCCAGGCAGGCCAGGGTGACTCAGAGCAGGAGAGCCACAACCATCCTCCCATCCCGGGCCGGCGCGGTCTGGCAGTCAAGCGCGCCCCCTTTCGGCTGCGGACAGAACTGCATCCCTGGAAGGGAAGCGGCAGTCCGACTCGCAAACCCACCAGCCGCGCGGAAAGCGGACCCCAGCGCGGCTGCCACCCTCGCCCCTGACCCGCCTGGCTGAGAGCGATGCCCGTGGGTCTCCCACTTCCGCCCAGCTCTTCCCCACAGCCCCGCGGTCCGGCCTGGGCGGAAGTGCGCTGTCCGCGCGAGTCCCCCATGGCTGCGAGGCGGAAGTGCCTCCCGCCACCGTGCCGTCTGGCCCCGCGGACCCAGGCGCGTCGGGTTCCGGAGGGCCCCATGTGACGTGGCCACGCGCCGGGGGCGGCTCCGGGCCGGGGGCCGGCGGCCGGGCGGGGCGCGGGCGGGGCGCGGCACTGCAGCTGGATGGCCGGGTCCGCCCGGAGCGCCGCAGCTGCCGTCGCCGCCGCCGCTGCACGGTGAGTGACCGCCGGACCCTTAGGGCCTGTGCCTCCTGGCGGGATAGACCTGGCCGATCCCCGATCCGTCCATGCTCACTCTGATGAGTCTTCTGCCCCTCTCCCAGAGCTCAGGAGTTGAACTTTCCTGCCTTGGACTCTTCTTGTCCTCTGTCGTCCCACACTATGCCCCTCATCTCCCCCTCCCTGTCTACCTTTGCGCCCTTCTCCCTCTCCTAGCTCCACTCTCTGGCTCTTTCTTGACTCTCTTCCCTCGTTTTCTCCTTTCCCTCAGGTCTGTATGACCTGCTTAGGACCAGGCCTGGCCTCATCCTGCCTTGGTCCCCGTGGAGCCCCGCTGGTTTCACGGGGGTCTTGGTTAGTGAAGACCTGGAGATCCCAGACATAGGCTTCTTTTCCACTTCCCAGAGACAGCTGCCTTCTCTCCCTTCCACCTCCACCAACAGATGAGGAAACTGAGGCAGCACAAGGTCACAGTCAGCATAAGGCAGGGTAGACCACATTTAAACCTCATGCCCTAGTTTTCCAGATTGAACTTCTCTCTTGGTTGACTCACATCCCCATCCTGTGATCTGCGGCAGAGCACATTCCTGCCGGGGGCGCTCCAGGCCTCCCCTAGCATAAGTGGGCCTCTGTGTGCCTCCTCCATGACAGCAACCTCTACCTGCATGATCAGGCTCACCTCATCTTCACAGCTCTGTGGGGGAGGCAGTACCTAGCCCCCTCCCACAGATAAGGATATTGAGGCTCAGAGAGGACTTGGGGAAATTGCCTACAAACAGCTAAAAGTGCACTGCACCAAGTTAGTCACCAGTCTCCAGAGCCAGTGCCCCAGCATCTGTGAGGCATCTCTTCAGCCCCACCTCCTGTCTTTCTCAGTGTCCCAGGGACATTGGGTTCATTTTTTAGCAAGAGACTTTGACGGTCCTGTCTAGCTCTACTGCTCAGTTTCCCCACCAGTGTCCCCCAGTGCTGTATCATCAGCCTAGATAATGCTGGGTTTAGTCCCTGGAGGGTCTTCACAGGGCACAACCTGGCATCAAAGCCTTCCTGGCAGCCAGAGACACCCGGCTGGGTTGGGCCTGCTGGTGGCTGAAGGGAGCCAGCCAGTGCCTCACCCAGTCATTAGGGAAAGTTTAGCCTCAGGCCGACGTGCTGACACACAGGCGGGAGAGCCTGCTCAGAAGGAAAAACTGTGTGGTCCTCAGGAGAGGGATGTGGAGGAGCAGAGCCTCTTTTTGTGCTTCTGCCATTGGGATCTCAGATGTCCTTGGCAAGGCCAGCAGGAGGGTGGATGCCATGGTTACTTGGGAGAGAGGGAACAGATGCTGTGTTTTCTGAGCAGGTGAGCAGTCAAGGGCAGCAACTCTCATAAATGGCCTGTTTTTCAGCACGTGGCGTGCCTGGATGTCCCTGCCCCGGCTGCGGCATGGCGGGCCAACGGCTCCTCGTCCTCACTGCCCTTGCCCTGGAGCTCCTGGGAAGGGCTGGGAGTTCCCAGCCAGCCCTCTGGAGCCGGGGGGCTGCAGCAGCCTGTCGCCTGGACAACAAGGAATGCGAGTCCTGGGGGGCCCTGCTGAGTGGGGAGAGGCTGGACACTTGGATCTGCTCCCTACTGGGCTCTCTCATGGTGGGGCTCAGTGGGGTCTTCCCATTGCTTGTCATTCCCCTGGAGATGGGGGCCATGCTGCGCTCAGAAGGTGAGTGACCAAGGGACAGCCAGTAGTGCTGGAAACATGCTGCTCTTCTTGGAAGACCCCAGGTCTCATGTACCACATCACAGTATATCTGAAATGGAAGACGGGATCACCTTAGTCCTGTGGGAACGGGGTGTGTTGTTCACTTGTTCATTCTTTCAGGCATCTATTATTGTTTCAGTCAACAAACATTCACCAGACTCATAGGAACAGTGGTTGGAAATATGACTGCCAGGCTATCTGGACTCAAATCCTGACTCTGGCATTCATCAGCTAAATAGCATAGGGAAAGTTCTTTAACTTCATTTTGCCTGTCTCCCAACCTTAAAAACGAGAATAAATAGGGTCAGAAGTTCAGTAGTAGAATGCTTGCCTAGCGAACCTGGGCTTGATTCCCAGCATCCTCCTCACCCCCACAATGGCAATAATGCTAGCGTCTGTCTCATAGATGCCCTGTGAGGATTAAATGAAGATTGCCTCGTGTAGGGAAGGGACCAGTGCTTGTAGGCTCATGCTGAGCGTGGGATGCCGTGGTGAATGCACACTGCCTCTCCCTCCTGTCTCAGCTCACAGTGTGAGAGTTCTCAGTCCAGAAGTAGCTGGGTTGGCTTTCCCTAGCAGTACTCAAGAGGCTGGTGGCAGGGCCTGCCCCCAGGAGGGGACTTAGGAATAGGAGCCAGTCATGGTGGGATGGCTTTTCCTTGACTATACTTTTGTACTATGTGCATGCAGTATCCTAATTAAAAATGAAAAAGGCCAGGCACAATGGCCAACACCTGAAATCCTAGCTACTCTGGAGGCTAAGATCTGAAGGGCTGAGGTTCGAGGTCAGCTCAGGCAAAAAGTTTGAGAGCCCCCCCCCCATCTCAACCATTAAAAAGCTGGGTATGGTGATGCATGCATCTGTCATCATACCTACTCAGGAAACATAAGAAGGGGGATTATGGTCCCGGCCGTCCCCAGCAAAAATACAAGACCCTACCTGAAAAATAACTAAAGCAAAAAGGGCCGGAGGTGTGGCTCAAGTGGTAGAGCACCTGCCTAGCAAGTAGCCTGCCTAGTAAGCAGCATGAGACCCTGAGTTCAAACCTCAGTACCACCAAAAGAAGAAAAAGGTTAAGTGTGGGGATAAATACCTATAACAGTACTTGGGAGGTGCAGGCAGGAGGATCATGAGTTTGAGGCCAGCCTGGACTAAGAGAGGTCCTATTTAAAAAAATATATATATTTTATGGGTAGCTGCTAAAAATACAAGTTACTGTGTTCCCCCCACCCCCGCCCAGCCCCGAAGAGTGTGGCATAGTAGGGCTGGGCTGGACCCAGGAGTGTGTTAGAAATGAGCACCCTGCTGGGCACCAGTGGCTTACACCTGTAATCCTAGCTACTGAGGAGGCATATATCAGGAGGATTGTGGTTCGAAGGGCTGGTGGCGTGGCTCAAGGTGTAGGCCCTGAGTTCAAGTCCCAGTACTATGAAAAAAAAAAGAAAGAAAGAAATGAGCACCCTTAGGTTGATGTCTTCTGCCAGGTTCAGGAACTATTCAGTTACTGGATGGTTCCTAAACTCCTCTGTGCCAGGTGCTGGGCTGAGGGCTCACACCACAGCTGGCCCCTTGTAGGGGCTGTGATGATGGTGCATTGACTCAGTCCTCCTCAGATCAGCTTTGCAAGGTCATTGCAGGATGCACTTGGATTATTAGTTACACTGACAAATGGAAAGTACAGGCACAGAGAGGTTCTCTGACCAGCCCAAGGTCACATAACTTGGAAGCATCAGCCTCCCTTGGGATCCCCCACTACTAGCTGCCTGTCCTCTAAGCCACATTTGCTCTGTTAAAACAAGGGGTTGAACATGGCTGTCATAGGGCACTTTGAAATCTGGATGCTGCAAGCCTACAAAAATCCCCAAATCTCCATCACTTTTCTGAGAGTGACAGTGGCTAAGAAGAAAGGAATTCCCATTTAACAAACATTTGGTATATGTATTGCTATTTCAGTCCCACAAGATCCAGTTTATAGATGGGAAAACTGAGTCTCAGAAAGTTGTCTTCAGGTCATTAGCCAGTGGGTTGTGGAGTTGGACCTGTCCTGTTTTAAGCCTAGTTTCTTAACCTCAGTGCAGGAGTGAGTGAGTCCATGGTGGTTTAGCAGGTTGCAGTGTGTTTCTGCTGAGCACTAGCCTTTACCAGGCCTGTGGGGTGGGAGACCCAAAAGAGCAGCAGTCCACATCCAGCCTTCTGGAGGCTCGCAATCTCTTGAGACAACAGAGAGCCCAATGACTCAGGGGGCCAAGATCAGGCCAAGGACTCCAGTGGCATAACCCCAGACCCCTAATCTCTGCTTTGCAGCTGGGGCCCGGCGCCTGAAGCAGCTGCTCAGCTTTGCCTTGGGGGGACTCTTGGGCAATGTGTTTCTGCACTTGCTGCCTGAGGCATGGGCCTACACCTGCAGCATCAACCCTGGTGAGTGAGGCCACAGGCACAGGACAAGAGGACAGGAGCGGGGAATCAGTGCCCATGTCCATGGGTGGCCTAGGTCTAGGTTTACTCTGGTTGGGATTGAGATTTGGTGTGAAGGATCTGGCAGAGAACTTGCCTGAGAGAGAAGGTCACTGTCCTGGTCCCAGTGTCCTGACCTTTCTGTGAGATCTAGGGCCCAGCTGTCTAATCAGCCAGTCCTGGCCCCCCTGGGGCTGTCACTGCCCTGAGCTAGGTCCCATTCCAAATGGCCCCCTCCCAGGGTACTGGCTTGGCATGGCCTGTTAGTGTTCTTCCTGCAGGTGGTGAGAGGCAGAGCCTGCAGCAGCAACAGCAACTGGGGCTGTGGGTCATTGCTGGCTTCCTGACCTTCCTGGCATTGGAGAAGATGTTCTTGAACAGCAAGGAGGAGGGGATTGGCCAGGTGAGCCCCAGCCCCAGGACCTGGACATGTCAGCTTCACTTCTGGGGTGGTGCCCAGGGCCTGGAGGCCCAGGGTCTGAGTTAAGCCCTGAAAAGCAGGGCTTTCTGGCCCTCTTCTGTGGGAGCTGAGGATCTGGCAGCCCTGGCCCCTTTGGTTTATTGTCTCATCTGATAGATGGATAGCGACAGCAGTGTGGAGGATAGGATTTGTTGAGTTTGGGCCACCCAGCTGGTCTCACGGCAGAGAAGTCTAGTCAGATAAAAGAAGTAGTCTGTGTCTCTTCTCCATCTCACTCCCCTCTCGTCTGCCCTGGCTGAGTGGGGGGCATCTAATGTCACCTCTCTCTCTCTCCTTCTCCTGGCCCTAGGCCCCCAGCAAAGACCCCACTGCTGCCGCGCTCAATGGAGGCCACTGTCTGGCCCAGCCGGCTGCAGAGCCCGGCCTGAGAGCCGTGGTCCGGAACCTCAAAGTGAGTGGCCCACTCAGGGCCCCCCTCTTGCAGCTGCAAAGCTGTGACTAAAGCCAGGCTCAGCCCTGCCAGCTCAGCTCAACCCGGCTTTTTCTCCCCTCATCCAGGTCAGTGGCTATCTCAACCTACTGGCTAATACCATAGACAACTTCACTCATGGGTTAGCTGTGGCTGCCAGCTTCCTTGTGAGCAAGAAGGTAAGCGGGGGTTCGGCAGATGGGGCTGGGGCATTTCTAGTGGGAATGATGGCATCTGTGTTGATCTCTTGGTTCCACCTCCAAAATACACTGAATTTACTTCTTGCTCTCATTGCCAGTACCCTCTAAGCCCCCAGTCCCTCCTATGATTCTTCTGGATGCTGCCTCCTCATTGTCTCCATACATTTTTGTCCCAACCCACTGCTCTGGTTTATTTATTTGCAGTACTGGGGCTTGAACTCAGGGCCTACACCTTAAGCCACTCCACCAGCCCTTTTTTTGTGATAGTTTTTTCCAAGATAGGGTCTCGCAAACTGTCCAGGCTGGCTTTGAACCACGATTCTCATGATCACTCTCCTGAGTAGCTAGGATTACAGGTGTGAGCCACCAGCGCCTGGCTTGTTCTATGTTCTTGTTACCAGCACTCCTTATTGGGGCACTTCTGTTGAGCTGCTAGACCTGTTCCTGCCTGTTCTAGATGCTTCTCCCTTCACCTCCTCCCTCTGCTCTCTGTGCTCTGGCCCCAGTGGTCTGCCTATTCTTGAGCTGACTGAGTTCTTCCCCACCTCACAGTGTGCCCTTGGCCTGGGATGGTCTTCCTCCCAATCTAGGAACAGCTGACTCTTCATCCTTTGAGCCTTAGTTCAAATGTACTTCCTCCAATAGGCATTTGCTGCCCATCCTCCTCCAATCAGTTCCCTATTCAGTACCCAGTCCATCCCCTCATTCACATCACCACTGTGTAGTGTTTTGCAATCAATCCTGTCTGCTCTCTAGACTGCTAGTGTCATGTAGAAACGCCTCATCTCCTTTACTCACTGCTGTCTTTCCAGTAGCCAACAGTATCCAGCCCGAGCAGACTCAAAGCAAACACTTGTAGTGTGGGTATTGGGGGTGTCCAAGCCCTCAATGCAGGCCCCACAGACTCAGGCTGTCCTCCCCACAGATTGGGCTCCTGACGACCATGGCCATCCTCCTGCATGAGATCCCGCATGAGGTGAGCATTTGGAGGGTTGGCCAGGGTCCAGGACTGAAGGGTTCCATGGCTCAGCATGGGCACAGAGCTCAGGAAGAGCTTTGGGATAGGCCTGTGAAGCAGTAGCAGGATGGGAACTGGCTCAGGGGCAGGGAGCTGGGTGTCCACGTTCCAACCTGGGAATCTCAGGTGACCTGGCCCACCTTGAACATCTGGACCTCCCTCCAGGTGGGCGACTTTGCTATCCTGCTCCGGGCTGGCTTTGATCGATGGAGTGCAGCCAAGCTGCAGCTCTCAACAGCACTGGGGGGCCTACTGGGCGCCTGCTTCGCCATCTGTACGCAGTCCCCCAAGGGAGTAGGTACGGGCATGGTGGGTGGTGGCAGCCAGCAAAGGAACATCAGCCAAAGGGCGCAGCTGCCCTGCTGCTGGTACTGGGCTGGGGTCTGCCCTGAACTCCCCTGCGGGAAGGGGGAGGGGACATGCAATCCCCTGGGCTCACAACCAGTAGGGGATCATTCCTTCCATGCAGAGGAGACAGTGGCCTGGATCCTGCCCTTCACTTCTGGCGGCTTTCTCTATATTGCCCTGGTGAATGTGCTGCCTGACCTCCTGGAGGAAGATGACCCCTGGTGAGTTACCCTTGGATGGCCAAGGATGGGTGGGAGAGCTACCCAACTCTGCTTCGCCCCCACCTCCCTCTGTTGCTCCCCTTGAACTGATCCTCTCCCCACAGGCACTCCCTGCAGCAGGTGCTGCTGCTCTGCTCCGGCATCCTGGTGATGGTGTTGCTCTCATTCTTCGTGGAGTAGCCATCGTCTACATTCCACTCTGCACAGCAATAAGAGACTCAGATTTGCTCTGTGACTGTGTGTGTGTGTGTGTGTGTGTATGTGACAGAAGATGAGGGCTGAGACAAGGGTGTATGTGTCGTGCTTGTGTAGTCAGTTGTGTGTATAAAGACCGACACTGTGACCCATGTGCAGGGCCATGGCTCAGCACAGCACCTGCCCCAGGCTCCTCCCCACCAGACCATCACCTTATACCAGCCAGAGTGAACAGCAAGGAACAGCAGAGTCTGCTCTCAGCACAGGTCTTGCCTGCCAGGGCCCCAAAAGGAGCAAAGCAGCCCAAGAAGCTCAGGGTTACAGGGAACCCAGAAGCCGTCCCCTCCTGCCAGGGCCCCCTGGACCTCTGGCCTGAGGGAGCAAACCCTCTGCTTCCATACCCAAGCCACAGACGGCCTAGGTTCTCCCTGCTGTGTCCATCTTCCTGGCACTTCCTTTACCACCTCTATAGCCAAAGAAAGAGGAGGCAGTGCCCCACTGAGCACCGATGGGCCTACATCTCCCAGCACTGAGCAGAGATGCTGTAAGGCCTTTTTCTCAGGGCTGCCTGCCCAGGCTAGCTCCTGTTCTCCTGGCGAATGCTCCCTGGCAGCGCCAGCAGCTCTTGCCACCTCCAGCTGCCAAACGGCAGCCTTGCAGGGCAACAGGCAGCCCCAAGTCAGAGAAGCCTCCTAGGCCAGCTCAGGGATGTTCTTGCCAGCACAGGGTCCAGTAGACATGCCTGGGGCAGGGAGTGAGCACCACAGCTGCCCTTCCCTGCTTAGGCCCCTTGTCCTTTGAGATTAGGGGAAGGTGGGGTGGAGAGGGCTCCGCATTGTCAGCGCTCAGGAATGTGGTCTGGGAGAATGCTGAAGCCATAATCCCCAGCTATTTCCCTTGGCTGACGCCCAGGTACTCAGCTGGTTGGCTGGGCTCCAGCCCTGCTCAACCATGGGTGTTTAGAGAAGTGGCTGAGTCTAAATGGTTCTACAGCAGTTTTGCTGTGGCCCATCTGAATCTGTAAATACCTGTTCTATAGATGACATATGAATAAATATTATCCAGACTGCCTGCCTGTTCTGCACACTATAGGGTCCATGGCCTAGGAGACCATGTCATCTCTGTTACCCCGAGATGTGCCTCTAAATATTTCACCTTTTCCTGCCTTGTTCTCGTTAGCCTTTTATCCCAATAATGATTGAGTACTGATATGAGCCTAACACTGGACTATCTTTAACCTCTCACCATCCTCAAGATGTCTTTATTTGATGGACCTACAAACCAGGGCTATCCCCTGCCTCCTCCAAATCCTTACCCCCTACACACTTAGTAATTTCATCAAGGAAGGGAGCTCCATCCACAAAGTCATCTCCAGGTGTGACCTCATGAAATTATCATTTAAGAGAGAGAAAGAAACAAAGGAGAGAAGGGAGGGTAAGGCAAGGGAAAAAAATCAGAGGACTTATTTAAACCATGTCCTCTTCCTTTCTCTAAGTGCATTGAGTAAAGTATCGTCAGGCACTGGAAGGGGCACTTCTTCCCCATGGTGCCATCAGCTGACAGCAGGAGTCAGAAGTCTTGTCCATCTCTTTCCTCTCCAAGTCAACCAGCACAGCCTGTACCAGCTGCTGGCTGGGACCAGATGTCTGCATTGTCATGGAGTCTAGGTGAGTGGGAAACCAAATTAGCTACCTCCCTAGCTGGGAATGCATGGCTCTCAGTATTTCTATCAGCAAAACATTTAAAAGGGACACAATGTCTACTCCATCTAATTGTGACAAATTCAAAAATGTTATTAGTCTGGGCCTCAAAGATCCAAGGAACAAGCCCACAGATGTCTCTACCACTTTTCACCTTCACCTTAGCAGGTACTCAGGGGAGCCCTGCAGGATAACTGACAGGCACATACAATCATCCACTATTACCTTCAGTCCACTGAGGAAGCTGGAGAGGGGGAACCCATTTCACAGATAAGGAAGCCAAGAAAGGGTAAAAGTGTGGCCTGGGGATAAGGTTGTATAGCCAAGAGGTCCAGCTGGAAGGAAGTAGGGACTGCCAAGTCCAGGGCAGGGGACAGAACCAGAAGCACTTTGGAGGATGGGCTGCAGGGCTCCTGGAACAGGGGTATTTTAGAGCAGAGAACAATGTCCAGAGCATTTGGGGAGAGTAAGACTAGAAGGAGGAAGTCAGAGCTGGGAAGGATAGCCCTCTGGGAGATGGGACAGTCAATAGCTCACTGTTGGAGAGGGGAGAGGAGGAACAGGAGATGGCTAAAGGCTTTTACCTCTTTTGAAAAAAGAAAATTGGGTTCTGAAGGGCTATTAAACTTTGAAAGGCCACTTGGGGCCACCAGAGACACCATTAAGATAGTTCAATGGGAAGTCAGACAGGCCGCATTCCCAGTCCTGGGTTTGAATACCAGCTGCGACACCTGAAACGTTAACTGGATAACCTTGTCCCAGTTGCTTAACTGCGTCTATAAAATGGGGTGCCCTAGTGGTGATTATTCTGATAACTAGATAAAATTATGCGTTAAGACCTACACAAGCTGGGTGATGGTGGCTATAACCTTAGCTACTCAGGAGGATCAAAGTTCAAAGCCAGCCCCAGGCAAATAGTTTCCGAGACTCTACCCTGAAAAACTCATCACAAAAAAGGGCTGGCAAGGTTGGTGAAGTGGTAGGAGCACCTACCTAGTAAGCATGAGGCCCTGAGTTTAAGCCCCAGTACTGTCAAAAAAAAAGAAAAAAGGAAAGCAAGGAAAACGGGATATAACCTGTACAGCACAGCTCAGAGTGAGGTGGAGAGTGGCAAGTCAGTCACTGAAAGATAGGACAGAGCCAAGCAATCTACAGGCTGTGGGTTCTGACAGAGAGGGGCAATGGCAAAATTGAGAGGTGGGAGAAGACACAGCATGACAGATCAGGCCCAGAAGGGCTCTCTGTGTGGATCTTGCCCAAGACTCATTTTTCAGAACAAATAGGCTGGGAGTCAATGGGGACCTACTGAAAAACAGGAGTCCCACAACCCAGGAAACAAGGGGGATGTTTCAAGAACCAAAGACCTAAAACCTTGATTTCACAAGGCAACGGGGATAAGGGCCACAGCACCAAAAGGCAAAAATGGAAGGGTGGCCTCTGTTTAAGTCCTTCCTTCTGGAACTGCAGGGCCACAAGCCTCTAATAGCTCAGAAAAGCAAGGCAATAAATGGGGAGAGAGGCTGTGGTGGGACCCAGGGTAGGGGAGGCTAGAAGACTCCAGGCAACAGTTGTGCCCCAGAGGGCCTCAACCTGACAACTGGTTTGGGGCCCACAATTGTCTCAGGGATATCCACGCTACAGTCCTTGAGCAGGACACTCCTGCACATGTCCCCACTCTTCCACCCAGAGTCCAGGGAAGGTGAGACAGATGGGTGGCAGGAACCCAAACCACCTTTTATTACGAACTTCAGCCAGCAGGAGACCAGAGGGCAGGCCCAGGGCAGGCCTAGGCATAGTACTGAAGATTGGCTTTCTTCTTGGCTTGCACCTCCAGGATACCCTCCATGTAGTCCTCGTGGGTAAGCTCCGTGGCACCCCTGCGCAGTGCAATCATGCCCTGCAGCCAAGACAGATAGAGTCTAGAGTGTCTCCCTGAACCATGAGCCCAGCTCCCAGAGGCCTGGGCCTTCTCAGCCTCTTCTCCTCAGTCTCCACCAGATAAAGGCCCATGTTCTGTCCAGAGGGCAAGGCTTGAAATCACCCAACAACCCTCACCACTCACCGCCTCCACACACACAGCCTTGCACTGGGCCCCGTTGAAGTCATCGGTGCAGCGGGCCAGCTCCTCATAGTTTACATCAGGACTGGGGAGAGGGCAGATACCACAGGGCTCTGTTACTTATGGGAAGCGGACAGGAGGGGGCAGATGTCCTAACACCCCCCATCAGGCAGCAAAGTCAACTCACTCTATGATGACAGATAAGTTCCTGACTTGAGCTGCCTTGTTTTCTTCTCAGTATGAGATGATAAGGGAGGAGGGGAGGCAGTTAAAGCAAGTTAAGAGTTAGACCAGGTTATTTTTAGGATCTATGTGCACTAGCCTTCTAGAAATCTGCATCTGAGGCTCCAGGGACCAACTCAGCCTGAAGCAGAAGAGAAGGGGTTATGGAAACTAAAGATGGTTTTGTACTCCCTGCAGGGCAGGCCCTGCACTGGCCAAAACAGTGCTGCTGCTAAATGCCCTACACTGCTTGACACTATCATGTCTAGTCCTTCCTTCAACTAAGAGGTGGGGGTAATTAATCCCAAATTCCAAGTAAAACTGAGGCTTAAAAGAGGTCATGCCATCTGCTGAAGGATGCACAGATCTGACCACAGGGCATTTGGCCTCTAGCTAGATCCCTCCCCTGCCAAGGCCATCCTTGGGCTGTGGAGGTCTGTGTGCCTTCAAATGGGGGGAAGGTGGGGGACAAGTGATTCTAAGGAGCAGAGCACCCAGAATAAGGGCCTGGGCTCCAGTAAGATTCTGCCTCAGCTCAGCTGGTAGATGGAGCAGTACTGCGTGCACATGGTGGGGGCAGGTGGTCACAGATTACAGAAACTCAGGACAGGCAGCTATTAGGAGAATGGATGGTCAGCAATGCTCTGTTGCTGCCCACTCAGGTCTCTGCTCACCTAACATTCATCTTCCGAGAATGGATCTGCATGATTCTGGCCCGGGCCTCCTCATTGGGCATTGGGAACTCAATCTTGCGGTCCAGGCGGCCTGAACGGAGCAGGGCAGGATCCAGGATATCCACCCTGTTGGTGGCTGCAATTACCTGAGGAAGGAGAGAAGCACCAAGTTCAAATGAGGAACTCTCTTGAACTCTCTACCCACAGGTAGAGCCACAGTCATAAATGGCAGAAGGCAGTCCAGGGTGCAGGTAAGAGAGCATGGGGACCTGAGACAGTCCTTTAGCTTCATTTTCTTCACCTGAGAAGTGGCAAAAAATGCTCACCTTCACTTGCGTGTTGGGCTGGAAGCCATCCAGCTGGTTCAGAAGCTCCAGCATTGTCCTCTGCACCTCCCGGTCCCCAGCCTTCTCACTGTCAAAGCTGGGATGCACAGATCAAGATACTAGTAAAGCCATGGCTTGCGTAGAGCCCTCCCCTTCTCCACCCTCTACAAGCCTAACCCAACCTGGGAAATGACTGGCTCAAACCAGGTCTCCCAGCCCAGGCACTGATACATAAAAGGCATCACTAAAGGTAGACTGCAGCATTCAGAGCCTAGAGAGGCTTCTGGGATCAGGTACCAGGTACCAGGTGGAAAAAAAGTGAACAAAATAAACATGACCGGAGCTGTTGCTTGGATGAACGGATGATGGCACAAAGCAAAACTCAGAAACACACAGGCTCGGAGTGTAAGGGGAGTCAGTCAGATATCCCCAAAGAATGGACCCGAGGATAAAAACCACCCAGTAAGGCTAAAACCAAGGGGACAGTGAGAAGGGGGGTTCAGATCTGGGGGTGGGGGGAGAAGAGGACAAGAAGGACAAAGTAAGGATAGAGGGGAGCAGAAATCACACGTAGAGCCTTGAAAATTCATGGTAAACCACATACTTATGCCAAGGAGCACTGGGGTGGCACAGAAAAGGTTTTAAATAGGACTCCGACTGTTACAGATGAGTGAGGTGACTAGACTTCTGTTTTGAAAGGAACATGGCAGTTATGAGACTGGATGGTCAAGGAAGCAGAAGGCTATTTAGGAAAAGACTTTAGAAACCACAAGAAGAGCCACAGTCCCAAGGGGAAGAAACAGGGTAGAAAAGAGCTGGTGAAGTTGGGAGCCAAGGCCCCCCTGCCACAGAGACCCCCTGGGGCCCCCAGCACTGGCTTACCGTTTGGTGCCAATGGCATCCAGCTCATCAATGAAGATGATAGATGGCGCCTTCTCCTTGGCCAGGGCAAAGGCATCACGGACCAGTTTGGCACCATCCCCAATGAACATCTGCACCAGCTGGGGGCCAGCCAGCTTCAGAAAGGTGGCCTGAGGTGAAGAGGGGTCAGTCAGGGCAAAGGTACTGGAAGCTCCCCTGAGCCCATTTGTAGAGCTCCAGACCTTCCCACCTATTCCTTACCCCCCGCCAACCCCCAGCACACACCTTGGTCTGCGCAGCACAGGCTCGGGCCAGCAGTGTCTTCCCTGTACCAGGCGGCCCATACATCAGCACCCCTTTTGGGGGCTGGATCCCCAAGTTTTCAAACTTCTCCTTGTGGTTCATTGGCAGGACAATAGCCTCCACCAGCTGCCAGGAAGAAGTCCTGGGTAAGGAGAGTGAAGCCCTAAGGAGTCCTACAACCCAATCCTTACTGACTTCAACCCCAATCTGCATCTCACATACTCGGACTCAGGGACACTGACCTCTCCTTCCCTCACAAAGCTCACTCTCACCAAGGCTGGCCACAACTTCTCTAAGAACAGCAGGATATGGCAGAAAGACCCTGGGCCAAAAACAGGAGCCTAAGTACCACTCTTGGCTCTGGCCCTAATTTTCTGTGGTCTTGATCAAGTCCTTCAGTCTCTATGGACCTCAGTCTTCAAACCCCTAATATGGCACTCCTCTTTTCCTTCTTAATCCACCATAAGGATAAGAGGCACAGTAAGGAATGTGTTCTTCTCAGGGAGGTGGAGAGACACAAAAGGCTGGTGAGGTTGCCAGTAGCTGCAGTGCTTCCCTTACCTCTTGGATCTGCTTGTCAAGGCCCCCGATGTCACTGTATTGCTCTGTGGGCCTCTCATCCACCTCCATGGCCTTTACCCGTGAGTCATATTCTGTAGGCAGGGTCTCCAGGATGAGATAAGAGTCTTTGTTCACACCCTAAGGACGGAGCATGAGGCCTTCAGATTTGCCCCAGGCCTAGGTATCACCTGGGCTGTGTGACAGGTGTCTACAGAGTAAAAAAAAACTACAGGAATGGGCAACATGAGAAACAAAGAGCAAGCAGACAGGATCTGACTCTCCAGCTTTTCTGCCAAGATTCAGTGGCAACAGTGACCTGGGGCTGGGGTAGGAGCTCAGCTAGTCCGTGGAACTCTCTGGAAAAGCCCTGCCTCAATCCAAGCACCACTCACCACCAGGTCTCCTGGCTTCAGCTTTTCAGCATCCACCAACCCAATCACAGGCAGGAAATATGTCTGCAGGAAAGATTACAGGTGCAGTCTCAGTTACTATCCTCATTGAGGCTCCCTAATGCTGCTCCTCTCCACCTCTCACCCTCCTCCATTCTCCTATTATGGAGCCAGCCTCACCTGTCGTGTGGAGGTTTTGATCACTGCACACTTGCCCTTCCTTTGTGAGTCCAGGTCAATATTAGCACCATCCTCCTCTTGGTCATTGGGATCAACATCCAATAGCTGAGAAGGAAAAAAACTCAGTCCCTTGAACTTCCCAAAACGTAGTGCTTTCTGGGCCAAAACAATTCCTAATACTCACAGGGCCAGCCAGCCCTGTCTCACTCCTCAAGTTAACCTTAACTCTAGCAAAGGTGCAGTTGAGCAGATCTCTGCTTAGGTGATGCTTCTAAGCACAAAGCTCATTCACCTCAGGAAGACAAACCAATAGGAAAAGGAGACACATGAGATGTGCAGCCCTGTATCTAGGAAGGGGGTCCCTGGAGGCGTAGCTCTAACATTCAATTTGGCCTCAAAACTTTTATCTGCTCCATCCCTGGTGGCCCCCACCCCCTGCTGTCTCCACACCCCACTGACTCCTCCTCCCCTCCACATACACACACACCTCGATAACGTTGGAGACAAGGTACGGCAGAGTCTTGTTCACTTTGATTTTCTCACTGTTTTCTTTGATCTTGTCTTTCATGGCTTGAAGTTCATGAGTGACTCTCAGTACTTCGCTCTTCATGATCTGGGATAAGGATGAAATAGAAGTAAATATTTAGCCCTGGCTCAGTTTATATTAGGCCCCTGTAAATTCTGAGGTACAAACTGTCCAGAAGACTCTCCTGCACCTGGCCAACCAGATCTAAGGTTTTCTGAAGCCCCAGACTGCCTGTGCCCACATCCAATACAAATCAAGACAAAATACCAGTTCTGAAACTTCCTGGTACAGTAGGTGTTGTATTACAAAAAGAACAGGCCTTTAATTAGGCAAATAAAAGCTTTAGGTTCTATGTCTTAGTAAGGGATGGGTACATTCCCATACTTAAAAAAACAGGACTGAAGCTGGGTGCTGTGGCTCACACTTGTAATCTCAGCTACTCAGAAGACAACATGAACTGGATCGCAGTTTGAAGCCAGCCCAGGGAAATAGTCCCAAGACCCTATCTTGAAAATACCCAACACAAAAAGGGCTAGTGGAGTGGCTCAAGTGGTAGTGTGCCTGCCTCCCAAGCACCAGACCCTGAGTTCAACCTCCAGTATTGCAAAAACAAACAAACAAAATAACCAAAAACACTATTAGGATGGTGGAGATCCACCCCAATCGAGAAAATCTCAACCAATAAGCTGGAGTGGTGGTGGTGTGTGCCTGTATCCTGCTGACTCCATGGAAGGCCTAAATAGGAGGATCTCTGTTTGGGTTGACCAGGTAAAAATGCAGACCCTATCTGAAAAATAAGTAAGAAAAAAGGGCTGGGGGCGTGGCCCAAGTGATAGAGCGCCAAATGCAAGGCCCTGAGTTTAAACCCTAGTACTGCCAAAAACCAACTCTTTGAGCTTCAGTTTCCTTACCTGTAAAATGGGGAATTATTAACAGAAAGGCTTTTTGAGAGAACTACTTAAAGACTTATCGTTAGGAAAGTTATAATAACTAATAATAACTCATCTCAGGCCTGGTCCCCAATCACTTGTCCCTTTCAAGACTTAATGTTCTCTTTGTTTTCTTGGTCCCAAGAGGTAGCCACAGGTTCATCCCTCCTGCGAGGAGCGGAAAAGGAAGTAGAAGCGACGGGGGTCACCAAGACCTGCCCTGGGGGGAGCTCACTGCTTTCCTGGGAGCCATGCACCCACCTTGATCTCGCTGTCCAGCAGCCGTGTGCGCTGGATGATCTCTTCTGTGGACATCTTGAGCACCTCCTCCCCGATTCCATCTTGCTGTTTAAAGAAAAATTCATGTGTTTACTTTACTTACTTTTATCCAGGCAGAGCCCCACTCGCAGCCTCAGTTTCCCCACCCACAAATTCAGGATGAAGTCAGCACCTCTGCCCATATCCCAAGCGGCTCGGTCCCAGGGTCCTGGCCACACCGTGACCTCCGAACCACTTCCTCCCCTCCCGACAAGGGCGTCTTCCCCCTGGCCCTAGCTTCGGGACTCCCAGGTCTCGGGCGCCCACCTCAGCCTCATCCCACACGGTCGCCATTTTCTCCTGCCGAGTCACTGGACTGTCGAGAGTCGGCAGCAGATTCATTGGCTGGAGGAAAAGGCCGAAGATGGGACTGCGCAGGAGCCGCGGGGGGAAGTTAATGCCGTCTTTCTTGATGCCTTTTCTTGACCGATGGCAAAGTTCTCCTGCAAATTCTGACTCTCGACGGGCTTAGCTCCGTCCACGCTGCCGGAGCGAATCTGCTTTTCTCTACTCCAAAAACCAAACCCGGGCCTACGCGCCTGCCCCCGCCGATCGCCGGTGGCTCCTGTTTGCGCTGGGAGCGAGAGGAGGGGCTGCTATTGGCCGGCACGAACGACAGGGGCGGGACTGGGTGTGAAACCGGAAGAGGCGGGAGTAAGGAGGGAGGCGCGGGGGCCTTCGGGAAATGCAGTTTTAATTTGGCTGGTAATTGAAACCGCGTTTGCGCAGGGGCGCAATTCACTCTCAGAATCTGGCCCAGCTAGGATTTGGGGGTTTTGCGCAATGGTTTCCCCAGCTAAAAACAACATGTCCAGCCGTGTGCAAAAGGGGCATGCTACATCGGGCCTTATTTTAAATTACGTGTTTAAGCACAACCCGGCCACCCAGCGTTGCTGGAGGGAAACAATCAGCAGAGAAAAAAAATCGCAGTTGCTGAAAACAGTGCAGGCTGCAAGGAATTGTCCAGCTGGAAAAAACTCAGTTAACAATCAGCCCTTACGGTTAAAAACGTGAGGGGCATCGGTGGCTCACGCCTGTAATCCTAGCTACTTGGGAGACAGATCAGGAGAATCGTGGTTTGAGACCACTACGGGCAAATAGTTCAGGAGATCCCCATCCCCAAAATAACCACAGCAAAATAGACTGAAGGCGTGGCTCAGACGGTGGAGCATCTGCTTTGCCAGTATGAAGCCTGAGTTCAAACCTCACTTCCAGAAAAAAAAAAAAGTGGTTATCTTGGTGAGCAGGGTATGCAGGTCCTTTTGGATCATACGACACTGCTTTGATGTACCTGTGCCTGTTACTCCGGAGGATGTGTCCTTATTCCTTTGAGGAGAGCTCCCCAAAAATGAACTTCACACAAGCCATGAATGAATATATGTATTTCTAATATTATATATCTATTTCTGATAAATATTACATATAATTACATATCTTCTGATAAATTATATAATTATATATATTCTGATAAATATATTTATCAGAAAAAAGCAAACAATTTTTAAGTCAAACAATCACAAAGTCTCTAAAGTTAGTGAAAAATTGTATAGTGGCAGCTGAAGGCAGAAATTTATTTCTTTAGATGTCAACATTTGCAGCTGTTCACTCCTGAGTCACTCACTATTGGCATTGGGGCTGATGACCCAAAATGTCTTGTTTTTTCACTAGGTGCAGTGGTGAGGCCTGTACTCAAGAGGCTGAGGCAGAAGGATCACTTGAGCCCAGGAGCTGGAGGCCAACCTGAGGAACATAGCAAGACCCTGGGGGTGGGGGGTGGGGGGGACACTCATGGCATTTTAACAACCTTTCTAGGCTGAATTTCTCATTGTCCAGAAAGACAGGGATTGGTCAATTCTCTTGGGAGCCCAGGAGAAGGGATGTCTTGGGAGTAGAATAGAGAGAAAGAACAGTATAAGCAGGTCCATGCTGCCCAAGGAGATTAAGGAAGAGCCAGGTGAGTCCCAGCAGGGAGCTGAGCATTAGGGCACAACAGCACGTCCTCGGGAGAAAGAAGGTGGCCAGCTTGGGGCCTCTGATACATCTAGACTTCTAGAGGGGGTGCAGTCTTGGGAGCCAGCACACTACATGAGTTGAGGCTGGAGTTTGGAGGGTATCAGGAAGGAGTGGACAGCTCCATTCTAACCCTGGGCTCTTGGGGGAAAGGCTGGTGTGAAGAAGAAAGAGTTGGGCTCTGTCAAGTGACGTGGACAAGACTTCTTTCTTCCCTAGACCTCAGTTTCTCCATGTGGGAAATGGAGAGGTCCTCATGCCAACCTCACAGGGTTGTAGTGAAGATTAAGTGGGGTGAAGGATGGGAATCGACCTTGAGAACAGTAGAAAAGCAGATGTTTCTGTCTCAGCATCTGCTCTAACCTGCTGTCCAAAGAGTAGCCAGAGAAATAGGTTCCAAAGCAGATTTGGCCATGGTATCCACACCCTCAAGAAAGAAAACAGGGCTGATGGAGTGGCTCAAGCAGTAAGAGCACCTGCCTAACAAGCATGAGGCCTTGAGTTCAAACTCTGATGCCACCAAAAAGGAAGGGAGGGAGGAGGAAGGAAGGAAGAAAAGAAGGAAGGAAATGGTTAACAAAGCCCTCTTGAAGGTTTCTCACTCCTCTTAGGAGTTAAATACTATTCTGAGTGTTTCCTGGTTTTAGATGAGAGTAACATTTAAATCATTAGACTGAATAAAGTAAGCCTCATCTAATCAGTTAAAGATCTAAAAAGAACAAAAGGGCTGTTCTCTGCTCTTGAGTAGCTAGGATTATAGGCTGGACCTCTGCCTCTGCTCTTCTAGAACCCCACATTCCCACTGTAAACCAGCAAGCTCTCCATATTCTTTAAATCAGTTTCAAAGCCCTCCCTGACTCCCAAAGAACAGGTCAAATCTCACTCTTTCTTCCATATGCCCCGTACTCACCCTTACCAGACAGGCTCTTATGTGATGATTGGGTTTTGTTCTCCCTCCCCCAGATTATAAATTCACGAGCTCATGTGTCTTACTTGCTTGCCACGAGTCCCCAGGGCCTAGAGAAGTGCTAAGCCTGCAAAAAAAAATATTTTCAAATGAAAAATGAATCAAATCCCAAAGCACAAGCTGAACAACTTCCTCTCCACAACCCCACAAGCTTATCCCTGAACACTCCCAAGGCCAGGCTCAGCAGATCTGTCTCTGGTGGGGAGAGAAAATGAAACACCACAGGACTTTCTTTCCTCGGGGTCCCTCCAGTTGCTCAGACTCAGCTCTTCGTGTCATCCTTACTGCTCTCTCCATGCCCCACATCCAAGCCACCTGGAATTCTGCCACTTCTATCTTGAATTCAGAAATGGTAAGATCTGAATAAAAATAACCTAGTGGAGAGTATGGATCTTACTGGGAGGAGGCTGTCACAAGTGAAGCAAATCGTTCATGTGAACATGGTAGAGATAGCAATCCCTTGTAGTAGTCTCTCCATTGTTGCTATTTGAAAATTTCCAAAACAACAGATATCTTCCCTGTAATCTTAGCACCCAGGAGGCTGAGGCAGAAGGATTGAGAGTTCAAGGCCAGCCTGGACTACATACTGAGATGCTGCGTCAAAAAACAACAGTAAGAGAGAGGTGGAGTGGAGGAAAAGGGAGGGAGGGAGAGAATTCTTCCATACCCCTGCACTGACTGTGGTTCAAGTCACCAATATCTCTCACCTAGATTACTTCACTGGCCTCCCTGTTCTACCCAGACTTGCCTGTGAGGGCTAATTTTGTGTGTCAATTTGACTAGGGAGTGTCTAGATTTTTTTTTTTTTTGAGACAGAGACTCCCTATGTAGCCATGTACCCCAGGCTGGCCTGGAACTAGCTATGAGTGCTGGGATTACAGGTATGCATCACCACATCCCACTTGTACCTAGATTTTTGGTTAAACATTATTCTGAGTGTTTCCTGGTTTTAGAAGAGAATAACATTAAAATCATTAGACCGAATAAAGTGAACCGCATCTAATCAGTTGAAAATCTGAATAGAACAAAAGGGCTGTATAAGAGAGAGGTCTTCCTGTTAGACTATTTGGGGGCAAGGCCTTTTTCTCCCTTTGGACTGAAACTGGAGCATCACTTCTCCTTGGGTCTTGAGAGTGACAGGCTCTGAAGGAGAACGAGACCACTGGCTCTGCCGCTTCTCAGGCCGACTCAGCCTGGAACTTGGCTGGAATCATGTGAGTCCATTCCTTACAATAAATCAATCTGTATCTCTTTCTATATAGATAAATATAGACACATCCTCCCTGTTTGGTTCTGTTTCTGGACAACACTTTCTAAAATCTGTTATTTTGAAAAACCCTTTATTTTAAAAAATGTTAAACATATAAAAAAGTTGGAAGATCAACAATGAAAACCTCTATCTTTTACCTAGATTTGCCAATTGGTAACATTTGCAACATCTATTTTTGTTATTGTACATATGCACACTTTTTTTCTGACCCATTTCAAAATAAGTTACAGACTTCATGACAATTCACCTTTAAATATTTCTGCCTAACACAACAATGGGATTAGACTATGAGCACATGATAAAAGCGAGAGCACACAGGAAGGGGTGAGGATAGGTAAGACACCTAAAAAATTAGCTAGCATTTGTTGCCCTTAACGCAGAGAAACTAAAGCAGATACCTTAAATGCAACTGAGGCCAATAGGACAAGGGGAACAGGTACTAGAGAAAAGGTTAGATCAAAAAGAATTAACCTAGAAGGTAACACCCACGCACAGGAAATCAATGTGAGTCAATACCCTGTATAGCTATCCTTATCTCAACCAGCAAAAACCCTTCTCCCTTCCTGTTATTGCTTATACTCTCTCTACAACAAAATTAGAGATAAGGGCAAAATAGTTTCTGCTGGGTATTGAGGGGGTGGGGGGGAGAGGGAGGGGGTGGAGTGGGTGGTAAGGGAGGGGGTGGGGGCAGGGGGGAGAAATGAATCAAGCCTTGTATGCACATATGAATAATAAAAGAAAAAAAAAAGAGAGAAAATAAATAAATAAATAAATAAATATTTCTGCCTGTGTCTCCTAAAAACAAAGACATTCTTGTACATAACTGCAGTGCAATGTAGTATAATACATGGTCATACCCAAGGACTTTCATATTGATGCAAAATACCTAATAAACAATCCTTATTAAAATGTGTTCAGTTATCTGTCATTTGTCCCTTATAGCCTTAAAAAAAAAAAAACAGTATCAAGAATCACACATTATTACATCTCTTTAGTCTCCTTTAATACAGAACAGTCCCCTAACCTTTTGTCTTTCATGAACTTGTGAGTTCTATTTGGTTTTTTTGGTGGGACTGGTGTTTGAACTCAGGGCTTCTCACTTGCAAAGCAGGCACTCTACTGCTTGAGCCATACCTCCAGTCCATTTTGCTCTGGTTATTTTGAAGATGGGTGTCTCTCAAATTATTTGCCCGGACTGGCCTTGAACTGTGATCCTCATGATCTCAGCCTCCCAAGAAGCTTGCATTTTTTCAGATGGCACAATTTCATTTTGTGCTGTTGCTGGAGATGTTAAACCTTTCTCACTTAATAAAGCTGAGGTCTGAAATTTTCTTCCCTTTGAAGTTAATACATATTTTGTGGAGAAGAATTTTGTAAACATCCCATTCCACATCAAAATTTTAATTTATATCAATATGGATTTTTATTTAATACAGTATGTATCATTGCTATGGACTGAATTTGTTTGTCTTCCAAAATTCATATGTTCAAGCCCTAATTCCCTGCATGATGGCCCCTACAGATGGTGCCTTTGGCAGGTGATTACAGTTAGATGAGGTCATGACAGTGGGGTCCTCATGGTATAAGTAGTGCCTTTATAGGAAGAGGAGAAAGACTGTTTCCTTCTCTGCAGGAGCACAGAGGAAATGTAATACACAGTGAGAAGGGAGCTTCTAGAATTTTCTGGCCCCTTGATCTATAAGAAAATGAACTTTGTTTGTTTAAACCACCCATTTTGTGGTAGTTCATGATGGCAGCCTGTGCTGATAAGACAGTCATGATTATTCATCACCAGTGGGCTGTGCAAGCCCTTCCAAGCTGGCCCCTGTGTCCCGAGTTATCACATCATTTGTTCAGTTTCCTTTGCTTTCTGGCACAAGATATTCCAGGCTCATCTTGTACTTTCCATCATGCCTTTCCTCAAAAGCCTTGATTCCTTTTAAGAACATGCTATTTAGAAGCCAAGATCTGGAAGCTAGGTGTGCCCATTGTTGTTGGCATGTCACCACTACTCTGGACTGGTGAATGGACACTATATTTATTTCTGTATCTAGCTATGTATTTTGAAATCCATGAGTTCACAGATGCTTCTAATTCTAGTTTAACACCATAGGTTCCTTCTGGTTTCCTCCCTTTCCTATTTGTAACTCTCTCTTCAATAGTGAGAAATCTTGTAAATAATCACCCATTGCCACTCTCTTCCACGCATAGACCCTTCTTCACTCCAGCTTGGTTCAATGACCCTGCTATGACACCCATGTTCATGGATATGCTATACACTCTGTTGGGAACCAAAAGCCACAGTCTGACAAGGTCGCTGTGGCTTAGCAGCATTCCAACAAGGTCAGAACCTGCAGGTGCACCATGTCTCTATCATGGTGGGAAGCAATGCTAAATGGTTTCCCTTGGCTGAAAAGAAGTTTATACTTAGTCAAGGACACTGGCAGTAAGAATACAGGGTGGCCAAAACAGAAAGGTTGTAACTAGGTCAGAGTGTTTTTGATGTTTAAGTCTCTTCCTCTTTTGTATAAAGCTTGCTGAGAAAAATAAAATTTTGCCAGTTGGTCATCAGCCTTCTGGCCCTCTCGATATGTGTTTTGTCATTCCTTTCCTGAGTGAGTGAGACCCTTTGTGTGTCCTGTCTTGTTCATTCCTGCCCTGAGCCCTTTTGGGTCAAGGACCTCTGTGATCCTGGCCACATAAATTCCACATAAATTCTGATGTCTCATGTGGAAGTTCACCCACTTGGATGCCTCCTTTCCTGGCTGGGCCCCAACAGCCATGTAAGGACACCCCTCCTTATGCAGGTTGGTCTCTGACGCATTAGGACGAGATGCCCTCCTGTCCCCACACAGGTTCTTTTCTCCACATTTGGCTTGGGTTCCAATGTGCTACGCCAGGCCACCTCTACACATGGATGCCCGTCTCGCTGTGTCCCATCTATGGTTTTAAGACTAAAGACAAGGGGAGATGAAGAAGAGGAACCATGCACTCTGCTTTTGTGTTCCAAAGCACCATTGCTTTTATACTTACCAGACAGCTCAGGCTGCCGTAACAAAATACTACAGATTGGGGTGGCTTAAACACAGATATTTATTTTCTTATACTTCTAACAGCTGGAAGTCCCAGAACAATGTACTAGAAGATTTAGTTTTTGGTGAGGCCTCTTCCTTACACTTACAGATGGCTACCTTCTTATTGTGTCCTTACATGACCTGTTCTTTTTACATCATGGAGACAGAGAGAGAGAGAGAGAGAGAGAGAAAGAGATCGATCTATGATATCCCTCCAATGTTTCTTCCTCTTCTTATAAGGACACCAGTACTTATGACCTCATTTGACCTTATTTATCTCCTTCAAGGCCCTATGTCCAAATATTGTCACACTGGGGCTTAGGGTTTGCTATGGCACAAAAGTTTGTCCCTCTCCCAAATTTATATATTGTAATCTAATCAGGGCTGGGGAGATAGCTCAATGGTAGACCTGAGTTCAAGTCTCGGGGTTCAATCCCAGCACCACACACACACACACACAATCTAAAACCTAATCCCCAATATGGTGATATTAGGAATGAGGCCTTTGGAAAGTGATTAGGTCGTGAGCCCTCATGAATGGGATCAGTGTTCCCACAATAAAAGGGGACCTCAGACAGCAATATTACCCCTTCTACCATGCAAAGAGATAGTGAGAAGGCACCATCTATGAACATGAATGTGGGCCCTTACCAGACACCAAATCTGCCGGTACCTTGATCTTGGGCTTGCTGCCTCCAGAACTGTGAGAAATACATTTCATAAACCCCTCAGTCTATGTATTTTGTGATAGCAGCCCGAACAGACTAAGCCTTCAACACACGAATTGGGGGCAGGAGGAAATGCACAATTCATCCCACAACAGCTTCCTATGCCTTTCCATACTGTTTATTGTGTTTACTGTAGGTTGTACTCCTCTCCCAATACCTGCACAGTGTCTCACCAGCAGAGATCTTGCCTTTGGCTCACTGGAGCATCTGAGTTCCTGAAGAATGTCTGGGGAAACCCACATAGAGAGCCTTGCCCCCACTCTCTCTACCCCAGGGAAGGTGAAAATAATCAGGACTGATAAAAACAGTTTATTTTTCTATAAAGAGCAAAGTACAAAGAGGTAGGGGAGGGCAGCTAGGCCCAGAGGAGCAGCAGAGGGCAGGCCCCAAGGCCCTGGCTGCTACCCAGGAGAACATCAAGACCTCCAGAGTGACAATGGAAAGGGAGCAAAGGGAGGTGCAGCAGAAGTCCAGGATCACAGCCGGAAGTCACACAAAGCCAGGTTTCATGGAGGAGCGGCGGCAGTTGGGGCAGCTCCGAGTGCCATTGTTCTGCAGGCACCTGACAAGGCAAAGGACTCCGTCTACTCAACAAGGTGGGTCCTTCCTCCCAGCCCTGTGTCTTCCCTTATCTTCACAGGGCCTGCCACAGAACAGGGGAGGGAAAAGACTTGGCCCCAGGCTCCTGTTCTGTTCCAGGAGCTTCCAGGCATGGAGTCAAGCCTGGGGTGGAGCTGGCACATAGTGCCACCTTGAGGCAGACCTGGCCCTGGCTGTGTGACCTAATGACTTTCAGAGGCTTCTCAGAATTCCCTTTGGAGTCATAATAATGAGAATGGCCACCTCACAGGCTGCAGGAAGGATTCAGTGAGTTAATAAATGGGAAGTTCTTAGAACATGCCAGAGAGAACTCAGCAGAAAGCACTAGGTGAGTGTTTGCTGTTAGTGTTACCAGTGTGCTGCAGGCAGCTATGCTAGGTGCCCCACAGGTGGCCTCACCTGAGGTGGAAAATGTGGGAGCAGGGCAGGGCCTGCAGCCGGCTGTTCTTCTCGCCTATGGACTCGCCGCACAGGCCACAGTAGAGCTCTGTTTCTTCCACGCACTCGTGGAACCGCACGACGTGCGCACGCAGCTCTTGCTGCAGCCCCTTGCTGCGGCAGATGGCCTCGCTCAGGCAGTGCAGCTTGAGCTGGCTCAGCTGGAGCCATGCGAACAGGAGAGTGAGGCAGGGGACAAGACCAAGGCCAGCTCCAGTCCCAGTCACTGCCCTGCCTTGCTGTTGGACCTAGGAAAAAACATCCTGCCCTCTCTGTGTCTCTGATTCCCTTCCAGCAAAATGGGAGGATAGGTGAGATCAGAGGTCTCCATCCTTAGAAATGCCTAGGAACCCCCCATTTTGGGGCGCTGGGGATTGAACTCAGGGCCTTGAACTTGGTTGGCAAGTATTCTACCATACCCCCTCAGGTCTTTTTGTTTGTATTTTTGTTTCTGAGTCACAGTCTCGCTAACTTTACTCAGGCTGGCCTAAAACTCACAATCCTCCTACCTCTGCCTCCCAATTAGCTAGGATTATAGGCATGAGCCACCTGCAACTGGCTTCATTAACATTTCTGATCAGCCTGACTCCTCTGTATACCTGAATGGCTGGAATCTAATCAAAAGTAAATATATTTTGCTATTTTAGTTGGAATGTGCACCAGATCTCAGAGAAATGCACCTCTTCGAGACACTAAGCCTGTTTTTAAGATTTTAAGGTTTGGATATGATTGTTAAACTTGGGCATATACTATGGAAAGAACATTGTATTTGGCATTACAACTGATCAGTTAGTAGGTGAAGGACCTTGACTGCCTCTCAGAGCCCCACTTTCCCCATTTACAAAATGGGGTTGCTGGATCCACCTCACAGAGAAGAACTGGAACCTATGAGGATCTGTGCCTGCCCAGCTCCCAGGCAGTGGAGGCCACTGTTTGGAGTTATAATGAACAGCAAAAGGCTCTGGAGACTTTGGCTATCCTCCCATCTATGAAATTTTTGCCCACCCCAGAAGTGCTCTCCAGGTGGAAGAGAGATCCAGGGAGCTGGAGACGGCTGCTGCAGGCAGCTCCTAGAGGGCATGAGCAAGTCCCAGCAAACTTCCCCCAAGCTCCTGTCTCCCCCACACACGCTTTGGCTCTTGACCCCAGACCCAGGAGACACAATTATGTCTGACCTTGTTCCCCACCTCCTCGGCCAGGTCCTGGGCTCGCTCAATGGTGTCCAGAGCCTGGAAGGTTAACAGAGACCAGGGCTGTGGGCAGTGTATCTGACAAACCTTGACTCATAGCAAAGAAAGGGAGGATGGGCCTGGGGAGGGCAATAGGCTGGGGCCACTGCCCTGTAAGTGAAGGTAGCAGGGAGAGATGGGCACAGTTCCAAGAGCTGTGTGAATGAGTGACCCACACCTTGGTTTCTGCAGACACAGAACGGGCAGAACACACCTGTCCCGCAGGATGCTGTGAGATCACAGGAGGCAGTTAAAGTGTCCCAGAGTTAAAATGTCCCAGCTCTGGCCCTTTTCTAGCTGTGGGTGCCTGGGCAAGTCATGGGCCTCCTATGAGCTTGGAAAATACCTAGCAATGTCCTGGCCTCATAGGAACAAGACAAGGCTAAATGTACAGAGAGGTTGAGAGATCCCTGCCCAGGACCAGACCCACAGATTTCGGCTGACTACTGGCCCCAAGCCACCTCACCTTGTCCAGTGATTTCCTGGCCATCCAGCACTTGGCAACACCCAGCAGCACCTGCACCTGACCCAGGCGGTTTCCAATCTCTGTCATGATGCTCATGGCAGAGTCGTACCTAGGGAAGGCTGTCTGAAGACCAGAGTAGAAGTGGAATCAGGCCAGGGCAGGCCTGAACCACCCCCAGCCTCATCCTGGTGACCTCACCTCCAGGTCCCCACGGCTCCGGTGGATGTCGGCAAAGCAGAGCAGGCAGAGAGCCTGAAGTGGCCGGTCCCCGTGCTGCAGAGCAATCTTCATGGACTCCTGAAAGGAAGGCTGGTCACTCATGGGGTGCTCTCTGCCCAGCAGTTCCCTCACATAAGGAACAGTTCAGGGATCATGAAATCCTCAGATCCTAATACACCCATCATGGTGCTGAGGCCTCCTGCATCCTGCTGAGCCCATTGTCCCAAGGAGATGGCTACTGTCATTTGACAGAGGGTGTTGGGAACAGAGGAGACCCCTTCCCTTGAGGATGGACTGGAAGGGAATGAGTTCTGGGGTAGAGCTGGGGGACTCAGCTGGAGAGAGCTTGGCCATGGGCAAGCCTCAGGGGCCTCCATGGGCTGATCTAGAGGCAGGAGGCCCTGTGTCTAGGCTCAACCCCTGGTCCACACCACCATCATCACCTTGACCAGCTGCCCGCTCCCCAGCTTCCCCACCTCACAACACTCCATGGCACTGCCCAGATGGCCAAGCAGACGGTAGGCCACAGCCATGTGGTACTGGCTCATGGCCCGGTACTTGAGGCTCCAGCCTTTGCCATAGTCATTGACGAGCTCTGCAGCCTTGCAGGGGAAGAACAGGGCTTTCTCGTAGTCCTGAAGGGAACACAGGATGGGAAGAGTGCACTGAGTGGTAGGAGCTGCCCCAAGCCAAGGACTCAAGGGCTTGGCTTCGCTGGTAGCCATGAGGCTCAGTATTCACTGATTTATTTTGGCCTCCAGGGAGAGGAGTGACCTAGGTAGCAGGAGCAAGGGTATGGCCTGTAGGAGTGCACAGATTAGCATTAGGACTGTATCCCAAGAGCTTAACTGTGTGTGGTGGTGCAAAACTGTAATCCCAGCTACTTGGAAGATTGAGGCAAGAAGATCACAAGTTGTTGGTGGGAATGTAGACTAGTACAACCACTCTGGAAAAAAATTTGGAGGCTACTTAAAAAGCTAGACATGGATCTACCATTTGACCCAGTAATACCACTCTTGGGGATATACCCAAAAGACTGTGACACAGGTTACTCCAGAGGCACCTGCACACCCATGTTTATTGCGGCACTATTCACAATAGCCAAGTTATGGAAACAGCCAAGACGCCCCACCACTGACGAATGGATTAAGAAAATGTGGTATCTATACACAATGGAATTCTATGCAGCCATGAAGAAGAACGAAATGTTATCATTCGCTGGTAAATGGATGGAATTGGAGAACATCATTCTGAGTGAGGTTAGCCTGGCACAAAAGACCAAAAATCATATGTTCTCCCTCATATGTGGACATTAGATCAAGAGCAAACACAACAAGGGGATTGGACTATGAGCACATGATAAAAGCGAGAGCACACAAGTAAGGGGTGAGGATAGATAAGACACCTAAAAGCTAGCTAGCATTTGTTGCCCTTAACGCAGAGAAACTAAAGCAGATACCTTAAAGCAACTGAGGCCAATAGGAAAAGGGGAACAGGTACTAGAGAAAAGGTTAGATCAAAAAGAATTAACCTAGAAGGTAACACCTACGCACAGGAAATCAATGTGAGTCAATGCCCTGTATAGCTATCCTTATCTCAACCAGCAAAAACCCTTGTTCCTTCCTATTATTGCTTATACTCTCTCTACAACAAAATAGTTTCTGCTGGGTATTGAGGGGGTGAGGGGAAGAGGAGGGGGTGGAGTGGGTGGTAAGGGAGGGGGTGGGGGCAGGGGGGAGAAATGAACCAAGCCTTGTATGCACATATGAATAATAAAAGAAAAATGAAAAAAAAAAAAAAAGAAGATCACAAGTTCAAGAACTGCCTGAGCTACATATGGAGTTGGAGACCAGCCTGGGCTATATACAAGACCCTGTTTCAAAAATCTAAAACAAACAAACAAACAAACACACACACACACACACACACACACACACACGAAAACCCAAAAATAAAAAATAAAAAACTCTCTTACTTCGGTGTGCATGCCTGAAATCCCAGCACATGGGAGGCTGAGACAGGAAGATGGCAAGTTTGAGGCCAGTGTGGGCTATATAGTGAGACCTTGCCTCAAACAACAACAAAAAAACCCTTAAAAACCCTTTTACTAATGTACATTATGATGTGCTTTTTAACTTGAAGCTACATAAATGGTTTACAGATTTAAGAACTAAAAAACAGAAAATAGAAATAAAGGATTCTAACGATATATACATTTGTACTGGGGTTTCACTGACGGCTTCACACTTGCAGGCAGGTGCTCTACCATTTGAGCCACTCCAGCAGCCTGTTTTTGTTGGGTATTTTCAAGATAGTATCATGAAATATTTGCCCAGGGCTGGCTTTGAGCCTCAATCCTCCTGATCTCTGCCTCCTGAGTAGCTAGGATTACAGGCATGAGCCACTGGCGCCCCATGAGAATCAAGTTTAAAATCAATTAATGGGGGCCTGGTAGAATGGCTCAGGTGGTAGAGTGCCTGCCTGGCAAGTGTGAGCCATGGGTTCAAATTCCAGTACCACATACACACAAAAATATATATGTGAAATCATGTACATATGTGTGTGTGTGTGGTGTGTGTGTGTGTGTGTGTGTGAGATTAAGGGACTGGGCATGGTGGTGTACACTTGTAATCCCAGTTGCTTGGGAGACTGAGGCAGGAGAATTTCAAGTTGAAAGACTGCCTTGGACACATGGGAGTTTGAGACCAGCATGGGTAATTTAGGGAGAGTCTGTCTTAAAATATAATAAATAATGATGATGCTAATACTAGGCTGGGGAGCATTTGCCTAGCATGTGCAAGGTCGTAGGTTCAATTCCCAGCACTGAAAGAAGAGAGAGTCTTAAATATTAGACTTGAATTGGAAATATCATTACTGTATTGCCTCTAGTTTTCCTGGCAACTGAAAAGACTTAAAAGCACAATTAACCCACTACCAGTGAGCACCTGATAGACTTTAAATACCTTTTCCCACTAAGAACTTGGAGAAATAGTTGACTCCGGGGCTGAGACTGAGGATGTTCAAAATAAGCTGGGATGGTTTATTGTGCCAAAAAACAGAGACTAAATAAAAGGACATAGGGGCCATACTGAAGGGAATACCATTGGCTTATGCCTGTAATCCTAGCTATTCAAGGGGCAGTGATCAGGAGGATTGAGGTTGAACTCAGCCCAGGCAAATAGTTCTTGAGACCCTATCTCAAAAAAAAAAAAAAAAGAAAAGAAAAAAAGCCTGTAACAAAAAAGGGGCTGGCGGAATGGCTCAAGGTGTAGGCCCTGAGTTCAAACTTCAGTACTGAAAAAAAAAAAAAGAAGGGATGGCTGAGCTACTGAGGATGTAGCTCAGTGGTGAAGTGCTTGCCTCTAGACCTTTGCCTCCAAAGGTCTAGAGTTTAATCCCCAGCACCAAAACCAAATAAGCAAACAAAAAGATTGTAATTGACTGAGGGGTACTGAATAGAAAAAAAAAATCCATGATTCCATAGTGATAACCCCAAAAGATAAGAGAGAACAAGCAAGTAAGTGTGACCACTGAAGGCAGTTGTGACACTAACTCCTTATTCTGAAAAGTGTAATTGAAGGAAATGTGGGAAGTATTCGGTCTGTCCTTTAGGAGTGGTTTTCCAGAGTCAACTAACCAGCCCTACCTGATGAAGGAAAGATCTTCCTTATAGAAAAATCCCAGCTAAAAAATGAAGAAGGAACAACCTTGGAAAAATCATTTCATTAGCATTGAAATGAAATAATTGATTAAGCAACAAACATCAATGGATACTAAAATCATTGAAGAAAATGTTGCAAAACCCAATACAGATCAAAGTGCCACCCCAAACCTGAAAATGGAGGGATCAGGCTATTAATCCCACAACCATCAGATACGATGTGACATGGAGGGCACAGATCCATGATACAGTTAGTATTCTTACCAAAAATGTGTGACCATAATCTCAACAAGTCATATCTAACTTCCAACTCATAGAGAATAAAGGAGATTAAGGAAGAACTCTGAGAAAAAGATGAGAAAATGGGATGGGACCTTCTGCAAGACAGTTCATTTGGTTTCTTCAATAAATCATGGAAAACAAAGGGGGAGAGTAAGAGTTTTCTATTCAGAGACAATAAACCGCTCTGACATGTGGCTCTTGCTTCCGTCCCACTTCAAAGAAGCTGAGGGTAAAGGCATATTTTTAGGATAAGCAGAGAAATTTAAATATAGACTGGGCATTCAGAGATTATTCAGAGATGCTATTCAGAGATTATGATAATTTTGGTGTGTGTGATAATAGTCATTGTAATTATGTCAGAAAGTATTCTTGTAAAACAAAATGCCTGTTTAAAATTTTAGAGATGCATGCTAAACTACTTCAGGGTAAAAATGCCATGATGGCTACAATTTTCTATCACAACGTTTTAGTTAAAATATGTAAATGAAATGTAGCAAATATGAATAATTGTTAAGTCTAAATAGAGGGTATATGGTGATTCATTATATTATCCCCTATATTTTTATATGGTTAGTTTTTTTTTTCCTTTTTAAAATTTATTTATTTATTTGCAGTGCCGGGGCTTGAACTCAGGGCCTTCATCTTGAGCTGCTGCACCAGCCCTTTTTTTGTGAAGGGTTTTTTCAAGATAGGGTCTAGAAGAACTATTTGCCTGGGGCTGGCTTCGAACTTCAATCCTCCTGAACTCTGCCTCCTGAGTAGCTAGGATTACAGGTGTAAGCCATGGGCATTTGCCTTTTTTTTTTTTCTTGAGACAAGGATTTGCTATATGGTCCAGGATGGCCTCAAACTCATCATCTTCCTAAGGGCTGGGATTACAGGTGTGATCTTCTATATAATAAAAAAGGTTAAGGGTTGGGGTGTGGTTCAAGTGGTACAGCACCTGACTGGCATGCTCAAATCCCAGTAGTGCAAACATAAATTAATAAATCCCTATCCCTCCCCAATAGTATCTCATCTCACTGAATGGAATCTAGTTCCTGAAAACAGAATCCTAGTGGTTGTCCTTGATGTCTCTCATTTCCTCCCGTCCTCTTGTTTTCCTTCAGCATTTAGGCATCATTTATCCCAAGATTTATTATCTATCTACCATGTTCCAGGTATTAAAAACCCCTGTGAGACCAGGTGCTGGTGCCTCAAGCCTGAAATCCTAGCTACATGGTAGGCTGAGATCAGAGGAAATTTGATGTCAGTTTGGACAAATAGTTTGCAAGACCCCATCTCCAAAATAATCAGAGCAAAATGGACTGAAGGAGTGGCTCAAGTGGTAAAGAGTGCCTGCTTTGTGAGTGCGAAGCCCCGAGTTCAAACCCCAGTCCCACAAAAAAACAAACAAAACAAAACAAATCCACAACCTGGATGTACAGGACAGGGAAAGATGAGCAAATCCTCTGATCAGAAGCCTGTGGTCACTGACCCTATCAGCTCATTCACAACCCATCCTTCCTCGTACTTCTCCACTCCTTCACACACCTGCGCAGTCATGGGGTCTCTATCCTTCCTGAAAGGCAAAGCTTTGCCTGGAATGTTCTTTCCCCAGATTTCTGCATGGCCCACTCTCACCTCCTTCATCACTCCCTGAGGCCTTCTGACCACTCTATTTGAAACTGTGTCCCCACCCCCATCCCAGCACTGCTTACCTCCTTGTAATACCCCTGATTAGCTTCCTGATCCTCCCCCAGCTAGAATGCAAACCTCATTGGGGACTCTTGCTTTCACTGCTACAGAGAAATAGTCCAGAAGTGCTTGGGATACAGGAGATGCTCATTAAATTTGATGAAATGAATCCTTACATCTCTGCTGTGGGACTGGAATTTGAACTCAGGACTTTGCACTTACAAAGCAGGTGCTCTACTGCTTGAGCCATACCTCCTTCCCTCATTTTATACATATCCTTCCAGGATTCCGAGAGCAGAGGTGACTTGCCCAAGATCACACAGCAAACTTGTGACAGTGTAGATCCATGATTTGTCCTCATACAGGAACATCCCACTTCCCCCAAGATGTTGGACAAAAAAAAAAAAATCAAGATTTGAATTCTGGCTCTATTCTTCCTGGCCTCTTCTAGTTCACCACCCCCTTTCCTAAAATGAGGGCTAAAGGAAGCAGCACAGTAGGGAGTGTGGTCCATGAGAGGCCCTCAGCCCAAATCCCAGCCCTGGAGACCCCATTTGCCTCCCCCTGGGGCCCAGGCCCACCTTGACCTGGGTGTAGAAGCTGCCCAGGCTACAGCAGACGCGGCACTCAAGCATGGTGTCATCGTTGTTGTGAGCATAGCGTAGGGCCTTCTCGAAGCTCTCCAGGGCCTTCTGGAAGAGACTGAGGCCCAGGAAGGCATTGCCCATGCTCAGGCTGACCTGGCCTCCAAGCTGGGCACCTACCCTGGTGCCAGGCAGGCCGAGGCAGGTCTTGCAGTAGGAGATGGTCTTGTGAAACTCACACAGCTTCTCGTTGCTGCGCGCCAGATTCAGGTAGCTTTCCAGGAGGAAGTCGGCATCCTCCAGCTCCCGGGCAGTGTCAATCTGGACCACAGCAAACTGTCCCCCCGGAGTGATGGGCAGGTAGCTGTCAGCCTGGACTCTGAACCTCCAACCCCAGGTTCAGACCAGGGGCTGTCATACCCATCCCAGGTTCACAGCCAAAGCAGCCAAGCAGATCCCAAAGCTTAGACTCAGAGCCACTGTCCCCCAACCCCCAATCTCAGACACATTCTCCAGACAGAAGAGTAGAAGCATCAGCCCTGGGGCATCAACCCCCAGACTCAGATCTAGTTTTTACTGCCCACCAGCCTTCGCCTCAAGCCTGCCGGCTGCATCCCCAGGTCATACACAGAACCCCCAACAGGGAGGCTGAAACCTAGAGTCTGAAAGCCACGAACCCTGGGACCTAAGTCAAGAACTTGTCTCAGAGGTTCAGACACCAAAGTTCAAGGCCACAGGCCTGAATCTGAAGCTACCACCCAGTGTCTCCGCAAGGCCTGAGATGCAGATTCAAAGTCTCAGGCACTAGCCTGTAGAACACAAAGGACTCTAAGGAAGCTGTCAGGGGCCCTGGGAGGAATCTAGCTCTGGGCCCAGCCTCCCACACACCCAGGAGGGTACACCCACCTTCAGCATCTCCTTGTAGCGGCCCATCTCTGAGTGGGCTGTGACCAGGCAGCCCAGCACACGGAAACGCCCCACGAGGTCCGAACTCTTCTCCAGCACCTTCATCCACACGTGCAGTGCCTTCTCTGTCTGATTGGACTGGTACAGCTGCAGTCCCTTCTCAATCTGCTGCTTTGTCTGGTCCTGCCCCATTGTCCCACAGCCCTGTGCCCCACAGGGAGAGACCCTGGTGTCTCCGTGCCTCTAGGTCCTCATACAGGGACCCAAAGTGTAGACTGCCCTCTAAGCCTCAAAGAAAAGCAGTGTAGGGCAGAAGCCAAGAGGGGCCTGGATAGAGAACAGGCGCCACCCTAGAAACAAAGCTGTGGCCCCTGTCCGCAGCTGTCCCTGCCAGTTGGGGACCACGTGACCGCTGAGGAATTGTCAGCAGCAAGGTCACGCGGGCCTCGGCCACACCCACCCCACACTGGGGGGTGGCTTCTCAGTGATACAGGCATCTTGCCGCCTGGGCATCTACTTGCACGTCTCTTTGGCACCTCTGATGCTGACCCTGGTCCCACTGACAAGTTGGGCCCTCCATGAGGCCTTGCCAAGGTGCCAATGCCAGGGAGTGGACTGGCCTCAGGCCAGGAGGACTGACAGCAGGGAGCAGCAGGGATGAGGCTAGACACAGGCATCAGGGAGGTGAGGTTAGCCCCTAGCCTGTTTCCCCATTCACACCCACACTTTTCCTCTCAACTGGTCCTCTTTGTTCCTATGGTTCATTGGACACTATGGTTACTTAGCCAAATACCCATGCCCACACCATCCCCAACATCTCATTCTAGAGAGAGCTGGAGAAGGGCCTTCAAAGCTGATGCCAGTAGTCTGGGATCTAGCCTGGTTTGCTTCTAAACTCATAGTGTAACTCCAGCCATGTAGTTTATCTCTCTGGCCCTCAATTTCCTCATCTATCAGGTTTATTTTTTCTGGTGGTACTGAGGTTTGAACTCAGGGCCTCATGCTTACGAGGCAAGCACTCTATCACTTCAGCCACTCTGCCAGCCCTCAGGTATCACGTGATGATAATAAACACTAACCCACAAGGCTGTTACAAGGCAGCAGTGTGGTGGCTCACACACAACACAGCACAGTGGTTAACAGCTGGGCCCTGGAGCCAGGGTGGCAGGGCTCTGATCCTGGCTCTGCTTTCTGTATACTAGCTGTGTGAGCACTGAGACTTGAGGCAACTTACTTGGAACCACAGAATGGAGAATAATGATACGAGAACAAAATGACTTGCTCACCCAGAACAGCATCTGGTGCCTAAGAAACACTATGTGTTGATAAGCAAAGATTATCCCTCTCTATACAAACTGCCCACCAGGGCCAGAGCTTGGCTCTTGAAGATTTAGAAAGTGTTCCAATTCCAATCCACACCCCAGTGTAGAAGCATCCCTGATAGTGAGTTCTAATGCCAGACACCATGGAGAAGGACCAAGTCCTACAGGGGCAGGGAGAGTAGACACCTGAAGAACTGGAGCTTCTCAGGTTGAGAGAAGCCCTAGGTGAGGGGGCCACTGCCAATCCCATCAGTTCTTATCATCTGTGCCAGTCACCCTCTGTATGCCAGGCTTCTTCCTATCCCAGGGCAAAGTTCATAGGTCATCCTTTTAGTCTATTCACCACTTCCAGAACACTATCATCAGTAGAGAGCTACACTCATTGGCAACTACTCTCCATTCCCCCCGGGTATGGCTGCACCGTGTCCCTCACAGCCCAGATTCGTATGTTGAAATCCTTAACCGCCTGTACCTCAGAATGTGACTATATTTGGAAACAGGGTCTATAACGAGCTAAGTGAGGTAAAATGAGGTCATTTGGGTGGCCCTTACTTCAATATGATGACTGTCCTTATACAAAGAGATGCATGGAAACCAGGTGATTAACAAAAGCAGACGATGGCCATCCACAAGCCAAGGACAAAGGCCCTAAATTCTGCTGACACCTTTTAGCTCTGAAACTGTGAGAACACCAATTTCTTGCTTAAGCCACCCAGTGTCTATGAATTTGTCTACTCTGGACACTTTGTAGACAGGGAACCACACAATATGTGGCCTTTTATGAGGGCTTCTTTCACTTACCATGTTTCGGCATGTATCAGTACTTGATTCCTTTTTATGGCTGGTTAACATTCACTGTATGGAGAGATCATCCATATCCCTTCATCAGCCAAGTGCAGGAAGCTCACACCTGCAATCCTAGCTACTTGGGAGGTGGAGATCGAGAGGATCGTGGTTTTAGTCATCTGGGTTGTTCGACTTTTTGGTATTATAATTCCATGAATATTCATGTACAATTTTTGTGTGTGGACATTTCTATTTCTCTTTTTTCTTTTTCTTTCAGTACTGGGGTTTGAACTCGGGGCCTTATGCTTGCTAGGCAGGCACTATACCACTTGAGCCACTTCATCAATCTGTTAGCAACTTTAGTGAGTGCTTCCCAGGGGCAGTGCTGGAGCCAGCTTTTGAGTCAATTGGCCATCTTCCCAACCCTACTGGGTTGTTTTTGCTTTCCATTAGACAGTTAAGGAATCTGAGGCTGAGAGGATCAAGTAATTTGCCCTTGGTCACAGGGCTAGTGATGCCAGGGTTACTACCATAACCAATTAAGAGACTTAAAATACAAGCTCAGCCGGGCACGGGTGGCTTATGCCTGTAATCCTAGCTATTCAGGAGGCAGAGATCAGGAGGTTCAAAGCCAGCCCTGGGCAAATAGTTCGAGAGACCCAATTCGAAAAAACCCATCACAAAAAAAAGGCTGGTGAAGTGGCTCAAGGTGTAGGCCCTGAGTTCAAACCGCCCAAAATACAAACTCTTCCAAACATACCCTAAAAGCTTCTTGTCGAGCTACTGGAATGTTCTGCATTTAAAAAAAACAAAATTCAGCCAAGTGCAGGAAGCTACTTGGGAGGTGGAGATCGAGAGGATCATGGTTTGAGTGCAGGCTGGGCAAACAGCTTGTGAGACCCTACCCCGCGCCCCAATCTCCAAAATAACCACAGCAAAATGGACTGGAAATGCGTCTCAAGCAGTAGAGCACCTGCTTTTCACGTATGAAGCTTTGCAAGTATGAACTCACTGGGGGTGAGTTCAAACCCAAGTCCCACACACCCATCCACACACAAATTCAAACCTTTTATAAACTGACTGGGAGTCACATCATGAATGTCTCAGGCTCTGGGCACACCCTACTCCAAGGATAAGAAGGTCGATGGCACTCTGGACTGAAGGGCTAGTGCTGGTCCCCGTCCCTTGGGGGCCTTCCTGACTGCCATGGGGTACCTCCAGGGCCCTGTGAAACAGGCTTCGGTACCAACTTCCTCACAGGTCAGGGCCCCTGGTGAGCTGCCTCTTCAAGCTCACAAGTTCCATTAACAGAATTCCTGAAAAGAAGTTCTGAGAGACTTTGCAGTCATTCCTGTTTTATTGCTGCAGAGGGCCTACAAATTCAGGTACCAGCTGGCAGCTAGCAATCTGTAAACTGAATGCAAAAAGTAAGTTATTGCCTTTATTCTGTAGTAGATGGAAATTTCTAAAAGATCAAACTGTGTAAAACTCTGTGGTTGAGAGAAAAAGCCACCAGAAAGCTCGTTTTTATTTTTATTTTTTGGCAGTACTGGGGTTTGAACTCCAGGCTTCACAGTTGCTAGGCAGGCGCTTTACAACTTAAGCCACTCCACCAGCAACCAGAAAGCTCTTGGACAAAGCAACTGGTGTTTATTTACTTATTCCTATGTTGACTGAATGTTTACCTGGTGGTCCTGTGAGGAATCAGTGAGAAGTGAGATAGGCAGTGTCTCTGCTTCCTGAAGTTTTTTTTTTTTTGCACAACTGGGGTTTGAACTCAGGGCCTCTCGCTTGCTAGGCAGACACTCTTACTACTTAAGCCACTCTACCAGCCCTTTTTTGTGTTGGTTATTTGGAGAACCATTTGCCCAGGCTGGCTTTGAGCTACCATCATCCTGATCTCTGCCTCCTGAGTAGCTAAGATTTACAGGAATGAGCCACCAGCCCTGATGCTCCATTTTAAAGGTGGAACTTAAGCCACAGCATCCCAGGGTCCACCATAATGACTCCCCAAAGGAACATGCTCTACATAAAGTCAGCCTAGGTTGCGCTAAAATCCAACTCTTCTATTAGCCCACGTGACTGGAAGGAACTGCAGCTTCTCTGTGCCTCAGCTATCTACCTTCCTATTCTTCTGGCTGCTGGGAAGACTAGGGGTGAAAATATGATTTTGTAAAAGTAAATCAAGTTGGATGTAGTGGCATATGCCTATCATCCCAACACCTCAGAGGCAGTGGCAGAAGGATCACAAGTTTGAAATGAGCCTGACTTCATAGTGAGACCCTATCTTTCCTGTATTGGCACTAATACGATAACAATGCATCATGACGGGCGGCAGTGGCTTACAACTATAATCCTAGCTACTCAGGAAGCAGAGATCAGGATGATCATGGTTCAAAGCCAGCTTGGACAGATACTTCGTGAAATCTTATCTCAAAAAAACCTTCACAGAAAAGGGCTGGTGGAGTGGCTCAAGGTGAAGGCCCTGAGTTCAAGCCCCAATACCACACACACACACACACAAAAGCATCAAATGTGGTGAGTGAAACAGAGGTCCTAACTTTTTAATTTTATTTAAACTTAAAATAGCTACAATGGCTAATGGGAACTATTTGGGACAATGCAGCTGGAAACTGCTGTCACATTCAGGATAAGCTAAGCAATACAGCAGGTGAACAGGAAGAGGAGCTGGGAGAGCCAGAAGGGATAGCGTTGCTGCAGAAACTGAGAAGGACTGGGAATGGTAGGGCAGGTGTTTCTGAGGAGGAAGAAAAAAGAAAATGCCTCAGGAGGTAGTCTAAGACACAAAAAGCCGTATGTCCTATGACTGCATTTACATGAAATGCCCAGAACAGGCAAAGCTACCAAAAGATTAGTGGTAACCAGGGGCTGAGAAAAAGGGTGATGAAAATGTTCTAAAGTTAGGTTGTAACGATAGCTGCACCACTCTACAAACCAGTGGATGGTATTATGGATGTGTGTGAACTATATAGATTAATGTAACCTGTATCTCAATAAAGCTGCTAAAAACAAAACAACAAAAAAGTGCATACTGAAAGAGACCTTAGTTTAGTGGAACACCTCAGAGTGAAGTGGGACTAGTGAGAAGACATGCCTTCAGGAATGTGAGGGTGGCCCTTCCCAGTTGAACATGTTCAATTTCCCATTCCAAGATGACTTTGATTTAGAAACAGTTCTCCCTACAGATGCAGATTTTAGCAGCAGAGACAAATGTGATTAACACCAGAAGGGGGGGTTAGAAAGAACTCTTCAGAAGGAAAAGAATTGTGTAAAAAGGGTGGAAAACACAGGACAAAGTCACCTATGCTCTCTCCTGAAGTGTAATCAGACACTAGTGACATTTCCAGCAAACCTGGTCTTTAATTTCCATCCCAGTGGCTTTCCTCATTAGGAACTGAGCT